AAATCTTTGCAGAAATAAGGAAAATGTGCTAACTTTCATAGGTTTATGTATCTGAGTGTACTATTGAAGTGAAAATAAAGAAAACCAATCCAATAGATCCTTCAGCTTTTATTGATAACTGTCAAGGCTGTTTGTGACTCACTAAATTCTGCAGGCGAAACAAAACAACTGTAGTTGTTGCCATGAGTTGTAAAGTTGAAGTCCCTTGGTCTATATGAATCTGAACTGACACAAAAATGTCTGTATTAAATGCAAGACACTTAAGGTAGCCTGCAATATATATAAACAGTGAACATGGGCCGTGAACAAAGTGCTTACCTTCAGTTAGCCCTGCTTTGAGTAGGGGCATGAAGAGATGACATTCAAAAGTCCCAATCAAAATAAATCTATGATTGCATAATTCTAAGAGCTGGATGATTGCTCTCTGATGGGCAGAGCAGCTAAATTGCTGACTTTGGGCCATTTACAAACCCACTTTAAAACAGACTGTTAGATTCTTGAGCTGTACTACAGCATTTATTCCTCTAGGCTACTTTTAAAAACCTGATGGCACACAACATGAGAGAAATTTCAGCTACTTAAACCTATGAGATAACATGCTGAGAACTTCAGAAAGCATTCACAAAACTCAAAAGGTAATTGAGACCTTCTTTTCAGTTTAACAGTGAAATCACAGCGGTTAGTGGATGACGAAACAGCCCCTTACCTACAGCATTCCATTGTGATTTTTACTGCTGCAGCTTATCAGCCTGATCAGACCACAGTCTACACATAATAGACTTCGTTACCACTGTAGCTTATAGTTTTCACTTTTTGGTTTTCCTTGTTTGTTTTGTTGGGGTTTTTTTAAATGTAAGACAGTAGTTTTTTGGCCTATATAAAGAGTGTAATTTTTTAAAGAGTAACCTGTCTAACCTATGGATAAAATGTAAAACACTTATCCACTGTCATTTTTTTTAAGAATAACACTGTGCACTTTTGTACAAAAAGAAAATAAGGAGTCTAAAGAATAAGAAATAAAGAATGTACTTCTGTTTGCACTCTTGCAGTATGCAGACTGTGCTGTAAATACAGGATTGTTTCAGTGACTGAATTCTGTTGCATGAATGCTGCATGTGAAAAGTAAATTCAGCATTTCATTTTCTATTCTGTTTATGATATTTTTCATTTATGCTGTAGGTTTCCATGTTTTTGAAGTTCCAACTAGCTTTATATGGGAAATGCAAGTGTTGTGCAGGTGTTGTGAAGGGTTTGAGGAGTTTTTAACACTGTGTTCACACGATATACAGTTTCTTGCTATCTGGAAATCCAGCGAGTCCCTGAGTTTGTAGTTGGTTCACATTGGCCATTTTTGACAGCTGGAATATGAGAGTCACTGTAAAATGTATTGTTTTGTAATTGTTGTAATATGAAGATAATGAATGAAACCAAATGAATTAAGGATACTGTTTTACAGTTTAAAATTGCTTAATTTGTGTCTTTATGTTCTTAAGCTGCAGAACTTTAAAGCTCCATAAGTGTACTGGCTGTTATCTGCAATACATCCAGTGCTGTCACAATGTTTATACACTTATATCCAGCTGTTTAAATGTATTCCAGCTTTTGCTTTGTGTTTTCTTTCCCGTTATGTCATTTTTAGGGTTTTTTGGTAGCAGGTCACTTTTAAAGTAAGTACAATCCCTGTATGTTTCAAAAGACAGAAAGAAATAGCCTATTGTCCAAAATCAGAGTAGGGCTGTTCTGTCTTTTGTTCTGATGGTCATATATTCTGTACTGTATGTAATGAACCAGTTCAGTAAATGTAAGAACACACTGTGCAATCTATATTTAAGCAATAAAATCAGAATTTAAAATATTCTCTAAGGTGTCATGTGATTTTTAGTGCTTTCAATTAAAATGTCAGTAACTTTTTGACATTTAAATTAAACCTTATTTTATGCACCTTTTTCTTGCAAACATGAAGTGTTGCAGCATTATTAAACCATTTTTAGTAACTGTTGAACAATTACTACAGTGAAGTACACCAAAATTTGAGAAAGTAACAATACAAAAAAATGAAAGCTTGAAAATTGAAATAAATAGATCAGTATCTAATGATGTAAGAAATACTCCTAGACTAGCAATTAGCAATTAGAAGGAAGGAGAAAAAAAAAAAAAAAAAAAAAAGCTGCAATAGATTTCTCCCTTGTTTTGTTCCGTTAATCTTTTTTTATTATTTATTTCAGTGCTCATATCTGAGAATGAATGCAGCTTAGTGGGCAGGTTGAATGGGACCCTGGGCAGCCTGATCTAGTGGCTGGCAACCTTGCCCACAATAGGGGGATTGGAGCTCAATGATCTTTAAGGTCCCTTCCTGCCAAAAATATTCTATGACTCAAATGATCCATTTTTATATCTGAAATTAGATTATGTGAATGAATATACACTTTTCTGAGCAAATATATGCTTGTGTTGATGCATTACCGTGACTGAATACTGTCTTCTAATAGAAGAAACAATTGGTGTGTTTTCTTTCTCATGTATATTTTAAATGCAAGATTCAAAGCAGCAGCACTGCTTTCATTAATCAGAGAGATGAGTTGTGCTTTTATTAAGCAATGATGCACTTCATTCACTTGTTTAAAGGCCATATTGTCTTACTTCGACTAATAAGCTATCTGATCTTTTCGTTATTTTTATTTCTAACTGCTGTAAAGTACAGAGTAGTCTCCTACCACTGTAATAATAGCAACCTATACCTGAACAGTTCCAACTCTGGAATAAGTAACTGTGTCAGCTTATAGCAAATCCATCCTCAGCACTGGGCAATCCTTTGTACGTTTCCCAGGAAATGTCTTGAGGAGGGAATATCACAAACCACAGGTTTAATGTGCTGATTACTTCTAATTGTGTTAATGTCCAAGAACATTCCTTTATGTTTTAATCTGCTGTTGCCATTGTGTCAGCTTGCATGGCAACCAAAGTTAAGTACTTCATGAAATGGAGGGATATAGGTAGCACTTCTATATCCAGCATTAGGTTGCAGTCATGAATCTGTAATGAATACTTTTATGACAAAGTTAAACTCTTTAAAGCAGGATTATAAAGAAGAAATTTAGACTTCTAGGGACAGCCAAATCAGTGGAACAGTTTATAGCAATTCTTTTTGTTCAAAGAAACGTTAGTGGACATTTTTTGTTCCATGGGGAGGTTGTAAAGGGAGGAAATTTGGAAAGAATTTATCTCAGTAAAAAATGTTTTATAGAATTTTCATTTTGCTCTTGCATATATTTTCCATTAATTAAGTCTGCTTATGTTGAGAAGACTGGAGCATTAAGTGTAAGAATTTTTAGAAGCCTCCCTAGTTCCAGGACAAGGTGACACAGGTACAATTTGGTTCTCAAATAAATAATTGATTTGTTTCTAGGTGTGTGGGAGCAAACAAACATGATTTCATAGAATCATAAAATGGCTTGGGTTGGAAGGGACCTCAGAGCCCACCCAGCCCAAACCCCTGCCAGGGCTGCCTGCCACCAGATCAGACTGCACAGGGCCCCATCCAACCTGGTCTTGAATGCTTCCAGGGTGGGGCTAAAATCCAATGGGAAAGCTTGATAGTACTTTTGTGTAAGTCTTTCATACACAAGTAATAAGGCTGCTAACGATTTTGAACCTGGTTGTTTTTATTCAGTGGTTTCCTAGCTTTGTTGATATAGTTAAATTTTAACTATTTTAGTCCTTGTGGCAATACGCTATGACTGAAGCAGTGTCTAAATTAACACCTTGTCAAGTAAAAAAGAAAATACATGCTTCCCTTTCCCTTTATACTGTTGTTGTCTGGTGACTGGTAAATCATAGAATCACCAAGGTTGGAAAAGACCTAAAAGATCATCCAGTCCAACCGTTCACCTATTCCCAATAGCTCCCACTAAACCATGTCCCTCAACACAACATCCAGCCTTTCCTTGAACACCCCCAGGGTCGGTGACTCCACCACCTCCCTGGGCAGTCCATTCCAGTGCCTGACCACCCTTTCCGAAAAGTAATACTTCCTCATGTCCAGCCTGAATCTCCCCTGCCGTAGCTTGAAGCCATTCCCTCTGGTCCTATCACTAATGACACGAGAGAATATTTTGAGTGGTGAATTTGGCCAAGAAAGTCCTTGAAGCAAAACTGTAGTTGAAAGCAGGAATAAGGGGAAGAAAAATATCCCAACGTTATTCTAGCTCTGTATTAGGTACTGTGCATTAGCTTTAGTTGATCCCAGAGAGGTGGTGGATGCTGCATCCAACCTGGAGATTTTCAAGGTGAGGCTGGACAGGACACTAAGCAACCTACTCTAGCTGTAGGTGTCCCTCCCTGTTCAGTGCAGGGCAGTTGAAACAGATTACCTTTAAGGGTCCCTTCCCTTCCAGCTCAAACAATTCTATGATTGTATAATCCTTAAATCTCTGAGAACTGGAGATAACTACATAATACATAACTCTGGGACACGAAATACTCTTTTTTTCTACCCTGACCTGTCTGACCAGCAGAAACGCTTGGTTGAAACTTTCAGTTAGGGAAGAGGGAACGCATTTCCATGTAACTACTGTAGCTTTTCTTCTGGGTGTTTCCTGCTTTGCTCTATAAAGGAAGAATGTGCAGAACGAGTTGGAGTAATTGCAGATTGATTTAATTAAAAAGCTGAAATATGTAGTCACCATTAGCAAGATCTGGTCTGAACCAGTTACATGATTAACAAAAATCAATCTTTGATCAGAACAAAAATCAGAGTTTTGATCAGAAATCAAATGAAGTTGTGCAGAGTGCTGTCAGATATTTCAGGTAATAGCTGGCCTGCATAGGCGGTCTGCAGTGACTTCTCTATGAAAGGAAGTTATGCATCTTAACATTCACTATCTAGTCTATTGCTGGAAAAGTAAGGCAGTTGCAATTGCAGAGTGACAAAAAGGAGTAAGGTACACGAGGCTGGCTGTGAAATTCCCAGTGCCATTTCTCACACAGGTGGCCATAGCAAACTAACTGCCCCTGTGCTGCCCGCCCCTGGGCTTCCCAGGAGGACGGCGCGTCTCTCTCCATGCTCTTCTCCGCAGGGAATCTTCCTCCTCGCTGCTCTCCTCAGAGCTGGATGTCCCGGCCCCTGGTTCTGTGCTGACTGAAGGCCATTCGTAAGGGCCACCTCGACACGAGGTTTTCTCCTCTTGGCATGCTTGAGCATGTGGAAACTTAAGGCTTTCGTTGAAGAAAGCAGAGGCCATGCACTCAGCTGCTGTCTGGTCACAAGCACATAGGAGTTTTTCACACAAGCTCCAACCAATACCTTAAAGAGAAATTTTAAAATGAATATTTAAGAGCAGTTACAGCTAGTGATGTGTAATTTGTCAGTGCTAAATGAGATCTTGACTAAAATTATTAATTTTTCCTTGAATTTTAGCTTCCAAATTCACCTTTAACCACTTAAATATACCTGCTGCCAAGGTGTTGAGTGCCTGGAACTGTGGCTGACGTTAGGTGGACTTGTGCAAATAAAAACAACAACAGCTGTTCTTTGTCTCCTGTCAAAAATGTCCGAATGCAATTCTTATCCTGACCTGATCACATCAAGCACAGTGACGTAATAACCGTGATCTCAGCTAGGACAAAAACCTGGTTTAGGCGTAGCTATTGAGGACATTTTGCAATCAAATTCTGTCTCCATTCTGTACCATGCTATAGGCATGGTCGTATTCAGCATGTAATAATTTCATATGCTGAGTATGAAAAGATGAGTAATGTCTGTAACTCAAACCTACATTTTGGAGTATGATCAAAGCACACAACTTCAGATTGTGAACTTCTTTCTGCAGGACATCCAAGTTTCTTAACTTGTTCCACACAGCATTGATGAGAGAAGCAGCACCTAAAATAAAGAGCAGGGCTAACTGAAAAGTATTTCTTTTTCTTACATCACACAATATTCACAATTTATTTTATCCATTTCTTTTTCAGTATCTATTACAACTGAAAATATTGTTTTTATTTCGTGGAAAAATCTTTTCCGTAAAGTCAAAAATAGCAAAAAACACCTGTATTTACTTTTGCAGTCCTTTCCTAATTCCTTGTTCATTTCTTCAAGATCTGTGAACAAACCCTCCTTTAGCAGTAGCTTGAGGTGTTCAGATACTGTTGGCTGAGAATCTGAAAACCACACATCATTACCCAGTGCACTGACTAGCTTCAGTGTCTGATTTTATCATGCACGGGTAGTCTTACTTGTGTAAAAGTGCAGGAAAATTCTGTGTGCTGTGCACTCAGAGCCGTGCTTGGACTCGATATGGCTCCAGCTGTAATGATTTCCACTCAAGGAACAATTTTGTTTGAAAATGAACTGCTTTTAGGGAGATTTCCTTGGTTTGGGTGATGGGTTTGGATTATATTAAGCATGGTCTGACTATGAATACCATAGAATCATGAAATACTTTTGGTTGGAAAAGGCCCTTAAGATCATTAAGGACAACTAAGAAGCAAACATCAGGCTTGGCTGGTTGTAAGTACTCTTGCTACCTACAACTAATGGCAGATTACAGAAGAGCCCACACCTGTCCAGAGCATCAATAGGATGCCCTCTTCCTTCCTTGCCACAGTAGCAACCGTAAGACTCAAATTCCTCTGGACATCTCTCAGTTAAACAGAACAACATTTCTCCCAGCTGGGGCAGCTCTCTCTTCTCTCTTCCATTTCCTCTCTCTTGTAGAAATGTTAATCGTTCACATACTATAAAGTAAAAAATAAAACAACTGTTTGACATACCATGTTCTCAACAGTTGAAGACTCTCATTATTTCTAAGTCATTGTCCCAGCCACTGACCTCCGACTTTTATTATAGCACTAAGGAAGACAGCAAGAGAAGTGGGAGAAGATACTGAATAAAGAGAGAAATCCCTATGAATATCTAAAATGCAAGTCAAATAGGATTGCAGACAGTACATTGCAACCCCCTTTAACCTTTCATATTTAAATATTTTTTTTCAAGAATGTTCAAACCTAGCTGAGAAAAGAAATAGGAAGTCAGCAGCTTCTCTCTTAGCTAACTCAGAAAATACAGCCCAAACCTCTTGTTCTTACATACTGGACAATGATTAAGTGTAAAACAACAAAAAGTTTTTTACAAGCTTTCAAATGTTTAATTTGATATATCTTCCACCGAGCAATAAGTTGTGCTCAGACTAAGGCATGTACATGATTTATTCATGGCTTATTCACAAAATAGTTCTAAGAGAGCTTGGCTGCCATGACAGACCAATCAGTAACAGTTCTGCTTTCCTCAAAGGAAAGATTCTGGATTCTGGAGTCCTGTCTGTCACTCTCTCAGACTGGAAAGTTGAAATTTTCATGAAATCATAAAATCATAGAACGTTTGAGTTGGAAGAGACCTTTAGAGGTCCTCTAGTCCAACAGGGACACCTACAGCTAGAGCAGGTTGCTCAGAGCCCTCTCCAGCCTGACCTTGAGTGTCTCCAGGGATGGGGATATCTACTGCCTCTCTGGGCAACCTGTTCCAGTTCTTCACTAATTACATATCACTAGAAAATTTTTAAAGATTACCTTTTTCTGCAGGTCCTTTGGATCCCCTAACAGACAGTGACAGCTCCAGAGTTGGTCTGGAGGAAAGTGTGCCCAGGCCACCTCTTGTAGGAATTGCCTCTGGAGATTACACATGCACAGATCAGACTTGTAAAGATTAGACTTGCAAACATAGGATAAACTCTATCAGTAATGTGTCCCAAAGGGCATACTCTGAACCAAAACCAATCTTCTTGCAGTCTTCCAACATCTGTTTAGATAATGATTGGAAGTCTGTTCATTAGTGGTAAATTCAACTTCCCTAGGCAATATTTGAAAATGAACTCCCACTGCTGGTACTGAACACTCTGCATCCTAGCCAGATTTAGCCAGATTTAGCCACAGTCTAGCCAGATTTAGGGAGGAAAATTTGCTGTTCTGCATGTTGGTGAAAAGCACTGAATCCCAACAGCCACAAACAGCAAGAGGGAGCACTACAAATTACAGTGGAGTTAGTGCAGGCTGTACTTGCCTTTCTCTTTTGTCATTGCAGATGTGTCCGCAGGAATAAACTCAGTGGGGATAATTCTGACTTCTGCCGAGTTAATATCTGCCTGGAAGGAGCCTGGAGAGGTGGATATCTCTCCCGCTGGAACCTCAGCTCCTCTAAATCTGTCCTTCTCTGAATCAGCAGAAAGAAGAAAGCAGAAGATATGGAGCAGTAAATATCAAGATTTTCATTTCAGATAGTAGGTCAGAGCAATATCTGGGGGCAGAACTGCTGTGAATTGATGGCCATAGAGAAAAGCCATTCAAGATGAGGATTAGGAAAGCAAAGAGCATCCACACTGGTCATTTGTTCACATATCTTGTCTTTTAGAAGAAAATGGAGCTAGTTAAATACAACCAATGTAACTGGTAGGTGTTTTGCTCATTTTGTTTGTTTGTCCTTAAATTTATATGTCACGTACCAAGGTACAAAGCTGTGCCAAGTACTAAAAATAAGGCTGGGTGCTGATTAGTTGGCCAGACCGAGAGAGGAGGGATAAGGATAAGATGTCATCATCTGAGTAAACTGCTAAAAAACACAGTGTCAGTTTACGAAAGGGTACCAAAAATAACAGCAACAGTAGGGATATTGCTTGAATGATGCAGAGCTGAGCAACTATGGGATTTACTTCTTTACAGACACAAGGAAATAGCAAGGGGAAAATGAGTTGAAAAATGTGCCATTTTAAAGAAGTTCTTCATCCTAGAAACTAATTTTTTTCTTTTTTTTCCAATTTTTTTTTTTTCGTTATCTGAAACTTCATCATTGGCTGGGAATGTTTGATGAATTTGGATATTGCTTTTCTTTTTTTTTTTTTTCTTTTTTTTGCCTTTCTCTTTTCATATAAGCTAACTTGAAAATGAAAACAGTGTTTTCAAATGGCTTCTTTTTTTTTAAATATCAATGCAAAGGATATTGCATTTAAGGAATAAAATGCTTCATTTTCAAAGGGACTGTGTGCATAGTTTCCATGTTTTGAGAGCCTATCTTTTTAAATTTCTGGAGTGAACTAATTAATTGGATTCCACTCAAATTCATTAAGTTCAATCCTCTGAAGTTCTGTTTTTGGCATGCATTGGAAATAACCTGTCTTAGCATAAGAGAATGGATAAAAAGAATGAAAGCACTTCTAAAAACAGAAGTAAGACCATGAAAGGCTGCAGGATGAATAGCAACATGCCAGTCTCACAGCTCAGCACGGTGCATGTTTTATGTCACTCTGTTTGGCAGTGATGTATTGAAATGAAAGTGATTCTTGCCAGGTGCAGATAATATAACTGGAGTTTGGAATATTCTGCTGTTTGCTAAGAACAGATATCACAGATAATCTTCTAGCAGCCATGCAGACCTCCAACACAACATGCACATTTTCTGATACATTCAAGTTAGTGGAGGAGAAGATTTCTGAGCAGAGTTTATCATAGCAATGCCTTATTTCTGGATTGAGGTGGAAAACATGAATGTTACCCAAACGGTGATCTGAGTCAAAAGATGGTTCCTTCCTTCTCTCCATATTCAGACTTACTTCACATTTTTTGATGCATTTAATTCTTTTTCACATAAATCATTTTCACATAAAGGTGTCATTGGTAATTTCAAGTCTGCTATGGTACTCCACTTGCTTTTAGCTGTAGCTACTGATGTGAATGTTCTCGTAGAAATGGTAATGGCAAAAATGTGAAATAACTTTTAGCCTGGGAAAGAGTTCCATGAAATTCTGTATATTAAAGGAGGAAGTAAAATAAAAATGAACCCTTTGGGCAGCAAATCCTATGAAAGTAATTTAAAGGATCAACCATCATATCAGAAAACCTGATGGGAAGAGGTTTTCTCACATACTTGCATAAGGCATGCAAAATGAGTGGCTGGAGGCAATGAATAGCAAATAATCCTCAAATAATATCTGTGATCTGACTCCTATCTAGCTCCAATTCCACAGCAGCCCAGTCATCACCATGCACAGAATCTTAACTGTGATGCTTTTAGATAAAGAATTGTTGTGCCAAAGGCAACGAAAAGCCCAGAACCACTGACCTTTCACTGACAGAGTGGGAGAAGACCAAGTCATACCTCGTTGGTCCCTTGTGACAGCTGGACAGAAAGCAGAGCATCTGGCAGTGAAGTATCTTCTGCATTTCTGCAGTGCATGTCTGGAGTGGTTTTTATGGAGAGCATTATAAAGCTTAACCAAACATCACTATTAGCCTTGCCTTTTAAAGAGGGTAATTAGGAGAAAGAAAGTGGTTGCTCAAGGATGTGCAGGTCAGCAGAACTACAGGTATTACTCAGAAATCCCAGCAATAAAGCTTAATAAACTAAAGCCTGCTATCACCTGGAGTCAGGAGGGTCTGATTCACCAGCAAAAGTACATCTGGGCTCTTACCTCCAGCGCTGGAAGTCCCCAGGGCCATCTCACTGGGCTCAGAGGAAATCGCTGTTGAAGACAAAAAATGTAAACTCAGACAAGTTGGCAGCACAGGATCTTATGAGAAGTTACAGACTGATAGAATACCCCAAGTTGGAAGGGACCCATAAGGATCCCCAAGTCCTCTCAGTCACTTAACTCGAAGCCAAGAGAATAGCTTCTTGAGCAGAGGAGGAAAGACCCATGTCTGCAGATTTTCCTGATTTTCTATGCACAACATAAATTGTTACAGACAGTGATGCTCAAAAACTAACCTCATTACTACATTCAGATGAGGTGCTATAAAGAAGAAACATAAATAGTCTGTCCACTTGACAGACTACAGTGAAGAGAACTAGGTGTAAAATCTTACTATTGTGCACAGAACAGATGCCATATTCCTTACAAAAACATGTGTTTGACTGTGTTGAAAGTAAAACATGAATGGGAAGCTACCAACTGAACCCTTCCTTAATCTCTAATTTATTGCTTTACTTCATGCACTGATGTTCATTTATCAGAAGCATTTTCATTAGCAGAGTGATCAGACGATCCCAAAATTCATCTCTGCATCTTTTTGTGAATTGTTAGGATGGTGTGATATAAGAAAGAATTTTTGTGCTGTCAAATGAATTTTGGAGTAGTGTCATGTTTTGGCTTAATATGTTCTCACAGCAGCCAGTGGTGAAGCTCTTGGGGTATAAATGGGGAGACAACTAATTCAATTGAAGTGGTTCTCCCAATATTTCATGGAATCATTAAGGTTGGAAAAGACCACTAGGATCATCTGGTCCAACCATCAACCCATCACCACCAGGCCCACTAGACCACATCCCTCAGTGCTACATCTACACATTTCTTGAACTTCTTCAGGGACCATAACTCCACCACCTTCACAGTTTATCTGGGTAAGTTATCTGTGTTGCAATTTCATCTTTCTAAAATTTTGTATACTGACTTTTATCCACAGACATATTTTGAGCATTATAATAAACTGTTTCTGTTCAGAGGGCACGAGTGACTGTTTTGGGGGATGTAGAAGATTAATACAGGTATGTAAGTACTGCACACAACTACAGCTTCATCTCAAATAATTAAATATCTCTTTGAAAACAACAAATGTTCAATGGACTGCCAGACTCCCCTGCCACAACTTCTCCTTCCTAGAAGGTCTGTTTTGGTGAAAAAAGGTTTTGTTCCAGAGTTCTCAGTCTCAGTCCTTGGGAAATTTTGAATAAACAGTGGTTAAGCACATGGAGCATGCAAGCTGAAGCACATTCTCATTTGGTCTTGAATTGGATCACCAAAACATATCTACTTTTATAGCAGTTTTCTTAGAAGGGCTGTAAGCAAACAGCTTGTTCTTGTATTTTATTCTTCCAGCTTTTGGGAGCTGAAAACAGCACTTCTTGCACTGTAAGTTACAAACCTTCTTCCACAGATGCTGTCACAGCCTCTGTTTTCTCAATCCCATGATGAAAGAACTCTGCAAAAAGAAAAGCATTTTTCCTCCAAAGAGAATCATGGCTTCGGATGCTCATAGATAGGAGCTTGGTGTAACATGGCCAGAGCAGCAGAACAAAACTTATTTCCAAATATTATCACTATTGTATTTTTCATTGGGTTTTTATATAAATATAATAAAATTTAGTAAATATTAACCTAATTATAGGTAATTAATTTAAATATTAGAATTCTTCCTTAGCACTTACTGACCACAAATACCAAATCCTACTTAGCAATATATAGTGTAATTAATAAAAAGCCATCAGTCTCTATCATTGTTTCAATCTAAACTAGAAAATTGATCAACAATAAGCATTCTGTAAGTATTCCTTAAGGATAAGAATCAATGTTTAGAGGTAAACTCAAATGTTTCAGCCTAAGCACTTTGCTGAAGCTGAGCTCAAAATGTCCATGCAAATAGCAAAGGACTGATCTGAAAATATTTTTAAAATGCTTTCAGTTTGTTTCTTCTTGCATTCTTTCTAAATGAGATTCAGTTTCTCTTTTCAATTCCTTTGAAAAATGAGTCATTTGGCTGAAATTATCCTGAGCTTCTCAGTAATGGCTGGTCACAAAAGCAGTACTTTGGTTTATTAGTTCTTTCTCTTCCTTTCATATTTTGATATCTTGCTAAAAATTGCCTTTGCTTCTAAAAAAAAAGAAATTCATATCTTCCAAAATGCTCATGTTATTTTTCTCAATGCAGACATTCTTCTTGATTCAATATATTTCAGTCAAAAAATCACAGAGGTAAGGACATACCCCCTGTGTGGAGTGTTGTCAGCTCTCTCTTGCTGGTTGTTTCTGAAAAGGAGAAATCTCTCTTACACAATGAAGTCTATAGATTAAAGTCAACATTTAAACTCTATAGTAAAACAAATCAAGAGTTCATTGCATTTATTCCTATTAAGGCAAAGGTTTAGGAAAATATTCAAATTTTCTCTGTAATAAAGCATCTGCCAAATTACTTTTCCTAGAAATTTATCTGACATCCTTGCTATGCTTTTTGCTTTTTTTCTACAGCTTGAACTGGACAGAACAGCTACACAGAAAGGTAATTACCTGAGCAAATGACAAATACAAATGATTCATTCAAAGGATTTCAATATTTTCCTGAAATAAGTATTACCAGGAGCCTAATCTGGTGGAGGTATTCAGTGAGCTATGGTGGAATCTCTCTTTATCAGCTGAGGTAAAAACAGCATGATTTTCCTGTTAGCACATAACAATTTCCCCTTTATTTGTAATGTGTTGGAGCTGCCATATCTGTATTAGACCCACCTGATCCCAGTGAAAGATTACTGGCTTACACAAAACATTTTGCTGGCACTGACACAAATTTTGCTAAGGCAATTTCTTCTCTCTTGGCCTCTTTATGAAGGGATATACACGTGCAGAGCTCTGAATTCATGTGTCTGTTCTTAGCACTGAGGTGTGCCAATATCAGTGAAGGGATCAGAAAAACTAGCAGTGCTTTTTCACATCTGACCCAGCTTTGGAGTTTGAGTCATAGAAACAGAAAGAATTGTAGGAGCTGGAAAGGACCTCTGAAAGTCATCAAGTCCAACCCCCTACTACAGCAGGTTCCCTAGGGCACGATGCACACGAAAGTGTCCAGGTGGCTTCTGAATATCTGCAGAGGAGATTCCACCACCTCTCTGGGCAGCCTGTGCCAGTGCTCTGTGCCCATTGCCCCTTATCCTGTCCACTGAAAAGAGCTTGGCCTCATCCATTTGAAACCTATCTTTTAGATATATATGAGTGTTGATAAGACTCCTCTTCTCCAGGATGAACAGACCCAGGTCTCCCAGTTATACTCAGAAGATAAATGCTGCAGACCCCTTATCACCTCTGTGGGCTTTCTCTGTTCTCTGCCAGTTTTAAACTGAGGAGCCCAGAAATGGACACAGTACACCAGATGTGGCCTCACCAGGGCAGAGTAGAGGGGGAGGATCACCTCCCTTAACCTGCTGGCCACAAACCTTTAATACACTCCAAGACACCATTGGCCTTGGCCACCAGAGCACACTGTGAGTGACCTCAGTAAATTGCTAATTATCCTAAGTAGCACCCAGTCATTCAGGTGCCTCCTGAAAAACAAACAAACAAACAAAAACAAATAAATCCCCATGTCTAACTGGACTTTCCCTGTTGCAGCTACATCTCTTGCCCCTTGTCCTGTGCCCATGCTCCTCCAAAAGGAGTCTGGCTCCTTCATCTCTGCACAGCTCCACAAAGAAGAGGAGAACAGTGAGACATCTCTTTCAGCAGGTGCTCCAGCTCCTCATCAGCTCAGTAACTTCTCCTGGCCATGCTCTAGGACAGCAATTAGCCTGCCTTCTTCTATCTTGGTTTTCATTTGAGTAGGAGTAAGTGGAGAATAGGACAGACTGCCAGATTTAGTGCAGGAAGCTACTCAGCTACTGCTCCATTCATCTTAGATCAGACTCAATGACAAAAGAAAACCTGGCAGGAGGGGCAGTCAGTCTGATCTGGATTGTTACCTGTAACCAGAGATGGACAGGAGGAGACATCCAGGCCATTCAGGGAAGAGTTAATATGAGCATTCCCAAAACACTCAATGGCATCTTTGTCGCAGGTGCAGAGGAACTGTTCACAGGGATCCCCATTTTCTGCAAATTAAACAAAAATCCAAACAAGGTGCTATTGAAATATCTTTTTTCCCCTACTTCACTTTTCCTACCTGTAAGATTTATGTCTTCATTAGCGCATGCATGCTTAAACCATGGTTTTTCATGTTGAATTCATTCCAGTTTTGTAATCCCACAGAGTTTGTAATTTGACAGAGCTGGCAATGGGTTGCTAGAGCCTGGTTCTTTCTATAGAGCAGTGAGAATCTCAGAGCAGAGCTTTGCTGCATTGAATTTTTCCATGGAAAACTTACGCCATCTGATATTGAGTGTAAAATATTCCACCTATCCCCAGGAAGTCACAGTCCACAAGCCAAGTCTTTCAGAGGATATGTTTTGCATTTTATAAAAGGAATGAGTTTCTCTACAAAAATACTGTTTTCCCACTTCAAATCCATTTACCTTTCAGAGCTTTCAAAAATATTGATCTTTCGGAGTTCTTACACAGTTTTTCCATATTCAACATTCAATATCTATTCATTTTGCTTTCCTCTCTTATTTCAGTTTGAACAAGACATTTTCTGATTAAGTATGGAAAGAGCTAAAGAAACACTGTTTGGGTTCAGATGTGCGTGAATCTTTATAGACTGACCCAGAAAGAAAAACTGGCTTCCATTTGAAACAAGAAGTGGAAATTGGGTCAGTCCTGTACTAAATCAAGCTATGAAGTTCTTGGTTTGGGGATGCTGCTCTTCTTTGCTGGCAACCACCAGTTATGTTCTCAAGCATAGTATTTCCTGGAAGCCAACACTGGGTGAAAAGTGACATTAAAATTGACTGGGGGCACTCCACACTTGCTAAACTCCTGTTACAACAGCAAGATTTCTGCCTGCTAGTGATACAGTTCTATCTGAATGTGTGGGACCCTGAAAGCACAGAATTGAATCCCTCAAATTACATGAAAATCAAGCCTTGGAGCTTCAGAAAGTACATTACTTTTCAAGTAATTCCCCAGCATCATCTCCATTCCATTCACATGGAGATATTTCAGGCAATACTCAGTGGTCCTGCAAAGTCACAGAAGTCTGGAAACCGCATCAGGAGGCTGCATGTTAGAGGAGCCCTGACGAGTTTCTAACTATAGGACTTCCATTCTCCTGCCAAGCTGGACCTTCATACCTCTGTGCATTCTTATTCACATTCATCCTTGAGTGGAATATTTAATTCCTCGAGAATCCACATGTGGAGGTGGTTTCTCCTTAACTTATATATGATTTATGGTAGGTAGGCCACTAAGAACTCCAGAATTCTGTTCTTGTGACAGGTTAATCTTACCACAGGTCAGGTTTTCTGCAGAGCAGGTGACATCTGTAGAAATTTTTGATGGGTCCCATGTGCACTCCATCTCCATTGCTTCCTCATAGCATTTGCGGTGCTGAAAACAGCATCTTTAAAGCATGAAATAGCACAAAGTTCAGACAGTATGTCTTCCTTTCTGTTCAAGATCAGACTGCAATGCTTATTCCTATACAAGAATGAAAAGGTGCCAAAGGAGAAAAAGGATCCTTGTGTAGTCCACAGACAAAAGAAAGGCTGAGCATCACTTTTCTCTGAATTAGTCTGGTGGAATAATTACACTTGGATGCAAAGCTCAGTGATGGCAGCAGGTCTTCAAGTCATGGGAGATCATGCTTGCATTCCACCCCTGCTGCAGAACCTGAGGGGCAAGGACCTTACAGGCAATTTCAATAAGAAATGCACTCCCATTGCCTGAACATCACCCACAGATCACTGCCAAACCAAGTCCCGCAGATCAGTTCTTAGATTCGGCCCTGATACAAACTGACCCAATACAGCTGTGTTGAACTGTGCTGCACCCAGCACTCTTAGACAGTAAATGTTTCTGCAGTATCTTGTGAACCGCTGTGTCTCACTGGGACTTTATAAATATATGTGATGTTACCATAGAATCACAGTAAATGATACTTGTTCTTCCTCCTCAATGCAGCAACCAGAATGGAAAGGGGACATAATGTGTTTCTCAAGCCTGAGTAAAGCAGTGTTCTTGTGCCACAACACTACTCAGGCAGTAGGAACCTTGCATTGTCCTGTTGTCATGCAAACCCCAAACATCTGTATGGCTGCCTCAGATGTTGGCAGCAATGAAAATTCAAATGAAATAACGTATTCATCAATTCCCTCTTCTTTTGAGCAAGCTGTCTGTTTCCGTATTGTAGCAGAATCTGTGTGCACCGGCAGATGTAAATGAAACACCAGTAAGACATTCAATCACCATTTACTGTGTGTAAAACTGTCACATAAAGTAAGCAAGAGTTTGCTGTTAGATTTAGATTGAAACATTGTCATGTCAGTAAAATGGACTCACAACATGGGTCTGTTATTGCACTGATAGCAGTCTTGTCTCTGTCAAATGCAAAGAAAACATTACCATCCAACAAACAGTGTGTTGCCAGAACGGGTTAACTTGTGACTCATGATGTGAGGAGCTTACTGGAGGATTTTTTGTTAAGGATGTAATAAACATGTTTTATACATCAGCCACAGTCCTGCATATGCACTGCACGCTCACTCCTAGGCTATGCAGTCACTTTCTCACTTCCTAAATTTAGCAAGTATTTAATATTTAATCACTTAATACATTAATAGTTAATTGCTAAAATATTTAATTTTCCTAACAATTAAGGAAGAAGTCCAAGGCCTAACCACTATTGAACTTCTGACTCAATGAAAAACATCAGTGATGAGGTTTGCTCAGGCTGCAAGCAGCAGATAAGAACTCATAAATAGCATCATCCCCACAGGCAGTGTTTAAATGTGGGAAGGTGCTGTGTGAGGTGGACAGCTGATAGATGGGCCTCCTTTTTTTTAGATAGAGACACAGGTGGCTTTCATTTTATGTTTCTCTTTGTGTGTTTGGTTTCCCAGGAAACATTAAAAAAAAAAAAAAAATCCAAGAAATTTGTATTCTGATAATATCTCAAAGCCCACTTTCTTGGATTTCAGTATCTCTTTGTGGTCTTGCTCCCCATTGTAACTTGGTTGAGGTGACTGCAGAAGGGTACCAAACAAAGGTGGGAGCAAACAGCATCCAAGAGACAGGCCCTGATGGTTTCTCAGTGCCACCAGTGCTTTTTCTAGAGGTGAGGCTGAAGTTTGTAACTACGGGAAAACAATTTTAAATGTGTAACTGATGAAAGATGTCAAGTCCCACATCAATAATGCCTGAGGTTTATTTCACTACAAGCACCTGGAAACTCCTCCAGTTGGAAAATTAATCTAATACAAATGATGTAAAGTTCCTTTTTTATTAGAGTATCATTGTCACTCAACTCTTAAGACAACTTAATCAGAAAATAATGCCCCCTTTGCAGACAGGGCATTGTAAGACATGGCTTGTCCACTAAATACGTTTCTCTCTCCCCATGGATCAAGAAGGCAGAACACTCTTAATGTGGATATGCAAGTTAGATACTTTGGGAAATCAAGAAAGGTTTGATTTGTGGGCAAAATCTAATGTCCTAATGAAATACCTATAATGAGATGTTAATCCCTTTTCATTGAATGGCAATTGCAGTGTCAAATCCAAGATTTGCAAAACTAGTTTCTAAGAATGGAAATTAGTGGGGAAAAAAATGCAAAGCTGTGAGAACCAACTCTCAGAAAGGCATGTAATAACCTCCTTTTTGGATGATCTCTTGAATGAAGAGGATACCTGTGTCAGTGGCAAGGCAATCAGTCAGCATCTACTGCAAACTCCGGTGGTGTTGCCATTCTCATAGGGAAGTTTCACTATAGACTGCTAACACCTCTGTGCTCTTTCTGTGTTTACGCTGCCCTGCATTAAGATGAAGATGAGTGAAGCAAAAGCCTAGATGCTCAGCTCTTTGGGTACCAGTGCACTCAACTGCCTAGAGCTCTCATTTTAGAATGTCATCGTGTTTATTCAGAAAACTACTCATGAGAATTCCCATGGCTTTTTTCCAGCAGTAGAGTTAGATTTTTATTTTCTTAGGCATCCTATACTGGAAAGTGGATGGATTAACTTCTGTCTAGCTATAGGCGTCAGCACTTTCTGAGCCATTTCTGCCTTCATTCGAAGAATTCTCTCACTGTGTTGTTGGAAAGTATTTTATTTTTTTTGTAATTATGACATGCGTGTGTCTTGATTGCCTTTGAATTTCTTTTCCCACCTCCTAGTGGCAAATGTGAATAGCATGAATAGCCATTTGCTTGCCCTGTCTTGTTGCTAATTTTTTTTTCACTAACTCAGTCAGAATCTGGAGCATAATCTCTCTGAAGCCCAGGTTAGACTTTGGATATTTCTGTTCCCAGTGCATGGTAGTTGAAAGAGCCATTGAGCTATACTGATCTCCTCTGTACCCCGATGCTCCAGTGTATCATCTCATGTATGTAGATATTCACAGTAAGATTTACCTAACTCTATAACCACCAATAGAAGTCATACTTAGATGTAGCCTGATTCTTTTGATGCCTAAATCAGCTCAGATGCCAACATTTCCATTAGCATCCACTATGTGCCTATCTTGCCGGTGTATTACTCAGATTCCCAATACTAGCATTTGATAAGGCTGTAAATCCATGGAGAAGCTCGGGTTGACATTCTCCTGTCTATTTTACTAACAGACCCTCAAACTTTTACCACAGGAGTAAAATTTTGGGCTGAATAGTTCCCCAGAACAAATAAAAATGAATGAGGTTTTGTTCATGAATTCTATTTAGAATTCAGAGACCTCCGGTAAGCAGTGCCAAGGAGATGAGTATGGCATTTAATTACTCTATTGCATTACTGATCATTCTTCACAACCAGTTTAAGCCAGCTGTGCTACTAGGATTGCACTGTTGGAATCACAGGCAGGTGCAGAAGACTATAATCATGGGAAAAAAGAAACCACTAGATGATCACATGCTGTGGGTTATGACCATTTCAACTTCATCTGTTTCCAGTACTTGTTGTAAGGGTGGTGACTGGTGCTGGGTGGCAGCCCAACAAAAAGACTATGCTCATTAGCTCAACACAGGGCAAGGCCAACCAACTATAGATGGAGATGTTTTTTGTAGGTCATGTCAGATATTTGGGTTGCAAATGAGTGATGATTAGACAAAGCTGAGTGATGAGGGACTTGCCCTCTAAATAAATCTTCTTTAATTGTAGAATTGTCCTTAAGTCATATAGGCAAGTGTTATGCTTCAGGTCATCAGAGCATTAAGGCACTACCAGCCAGCTGAGGCAGACAGAAGATCACAGAGTAGAATCATAAATGTTAGAGAAGATCACTAAGATCATCTAGTCTAACCATCAGCTCATCATCACCATGCCCACTAAACCATGTCATGGATAGTCTCATGGAAAAGACTTACTCATCAGCTTCATCCACAGGGAGCCCTTCCATTTCAAACCGACAAGAGCAGCCATAGTCTTCAAAATCTCTGGGACAAAAGCCACTGACACACTTCATTTTGTTCACAAAGTTGAGCAAGGCAGGGAAATTTGTGAAGATGGACTGTAGCCAGGTGAAGTGAGAACCCAGACAATCTGCAAAGAGAACAGTGAGCAAAGGTTAGCCAAGCATGGGTCACAAGTGGGTGATGTCAGTGTGAAAGCAAAGCCTAAACCAGGCAGTACAGTAACACAGGGGCACTGAACAGTGCTCAGAACTAAGCAATATTTAGGATTGTAGCACTCTTTGAGAAACCAGCAGTCTCAACAATTCCTGTGCCATTTCAGTATGTATAAAAGCACATTCCACAGCTGAAGTACAAGTGAAGCACATACTTACCAAAAAATAATGCAACGCTTTCCACATTTTGAAAGACTCCATTGAAGAATGTGGCATTGTCTAGATGAACAAAACAAAAATATTTTTTGAAAAAGTAGGTGACAAGAATGGCTCCCAGACTGTTGCTTGTCTTGCTTCTGTTGTCAAGACCCTTGGTGATGAAAATTACATGATATTTTCTAACTGCATGCTTCCCTGCAATGTTTTGGAGTATGAGTCATTCAACACTGCAATGCTATACTATAGAAAGTAAAGCTTAAAGTGTTCTTACTCAAGATTCTTTCAGGTGCGTTAAGAAGCTCTGGCAGAAATGCTGGTGGCTCCAAATCTTGGCCACCTACTTCAGCAAACAGATTTGAGAAGAAAAGAGATTTTAAAATTGAGAACAAAATAACATATACTTCATTATGATGCATACACTGCATGCATATTGAACACCTTCCTACATTAGCAAGCTGATTTAGCATAGAAATGAAACACTTATTTCCATCCACACCCAGAAATTCACATCCAGAAATATTCTGATAAGTCTCATTGACTTCAACTTAATAATCAGTCTCTGTTTAACTGCTGGTGAGGATATATTAATCCTCATATTCCTTTGCTCTTCTGGACAAAACCACACACTGGGATAAATTATTAGAATCATGTAAAAATACTGTTACAAACAACTTGCACCACCCCAGATGTTTTTTTTCTACTCTGTTGCCCTTTGCTTTTCAGTTGTTGGAAGTCAAGACGTTTGTGCAAACCTCTCTGCACCTGCTTGTTGTCCCCCTAAAAGCTGACCTCTTCAGTTCCTCTGTCATTTTCTCTGTGCACATCCATACACAACTCCTTCCAGCTGTGACCCCAGCATTCAAAATCAGGGGAAGCCCTCGAGGTTTGGTGAATTGGGCACAGCTTGATTCACGTCCGTTGTGGAGAGGTCAGCAGCTGATTTCACTTCTCTGTAGCATTAAATACATCTCCCAGAATGTTACTCTATAGATAGCGAGATAGCTTCTGTGTTAGATACGTTTCCCTTTGCTGTTTCAACAGGACACATCAGGATTCACAGCTTAGTTTCGCCTCCACCTTTTTCAAACCTTTGCTGTTCAATTAGTCAACAGGTTGGGCTGATAATCTATCCCCCCAAAATGGTGTTTGCTAAACATAGAAAAGACAGCCATGATCTTAAGAGGTGAAGCTTCAGATTAATTTAGCTGAGTTCTCATTGCCTATGCTCTCTTCCTGTGGCTATTTTTTTCCTGAAGTTAGCAATCTTCTTTTTTTTTTTTCCTTTTGAAGGTGCCACTTCACCATTTCCACACTTTTTTTTTCTGTTTGTCATATCCTGATTTAGTGCTTGTTCTTGTCCATCCTGCATACTTCCCTTCTTCGTATCTTCTGCACATTTTTAGGAGAAAATGTGTTATTTTCAATTTATTTCAACTAGACATTTTATTACAGATATTGTCAAGGGTTTTTGCTGTCTCAAGGATCTAAAGATTGAAGAAAACAAGTAAATTTGAAATCATGGCACAGCTTATCTCTCAGAATAACAGGCATTTTCTGCAAAAGACTCTGGGGAAGATCTGACAGTTATCTTGCTAATCTGTTGAATTTTCTGCAATAAACAGAGCTGTAGGAGAGGAAAGATATTTTAGATATAAGAATTAATGTGATGCTTAGCAAAGAATTCGGGAAGATTTTTCTAAGATTTTATTATAGGACCTACTCAGGAGTTTATCACAGCTATTTTGGAATGAACAAAGTATCCTTGGACATAGTCACCATGCTTCCAGAAATACATTTATTAAGTTTGGTGTCATAATGTAAGTATGGGGTTGTAGGAGGTAGGAAAAGGTACTTCCCTTTGCTGTTATGGTCTCCCCGAATGTCTTTGCCTCAATTAAAATCTTTCAGATGAAAAGAAAACCAGCAAAAAACGTCCCTCATTCCAACAAAATGGAAGAGACAGAGAGGAAGACACTGTTTTCCTCAGAACAGAAAAGGCCTCTTGGCATCACAGAACTGGAACAAGTCTATTGAAAGCTTGACAGGCAGAAGGAATTCAAACTCAAGAAGAATAAAGTGCTGAACAAATGAATAGCATTTAATACTGTATATTTATATATGCAATAAGTCATGCTTACTAAAGAAAAGCTTCCCTTTGTTTTTTGACTTAAAGCCAGCCTTTCCTGTACAGTGACAAACATCTTATCCTGAAGTCATGTTCCATTTGGTGTGTGTAGAGTCGGATTTTGAAACACTGCACACTTCCATGCCTCAAATGGAGTGTCTGCTGATGTCTACCTGTTGATCATTAGGCCGTTTCAGCAATGTTTTGGAAAGCATGAAAATTCTATCAACTTGAATGAAACAGAGAAAAAAGTTTATAAAGTCATGTTACAGAGATGCTGGGAGATGTGATTCTTCTAGTACCCTTCATTTGCATGTAATCCTCAGCAAACTTAATTTGCACACACTCAATTACTCAGATATCTGAAGCTCCCCTTGAGAAACATCTCTACCACAGGGTCAACTGTTCAAAAAGCATTTAGTTTTTCTAAAGCTTTCATTGCTAAAAATGGTATTTCTAGTTGTCAGAGAGTCAACATCAAAGACCAGTATTTACTAACAAGATTGCTTAATTTATTTAAATTTTGATGTAGAAACAGTAAGAAAATACATTCTGAATCAATAATTCTTTCTTATTATTTTTCTATCACGCTTTCTGGGGACTAATGTTCCTGCCTCGTTCCCTGCCTAGTCAGTAAAAGACTGTGCTACAAAAATCAGCCTTTTAAATTGCAGAACACCCTGAGAGTCAGCTTCACTCACCTGTCTCTACAACCTGCTAAATTCCTTGGCATGTGTCCTGAGGAGACTTGTGTGGTACATCGGCCCTAGGGATTTCCAGCTGTGTCAGAATTTTTTCATTATTTAGATGCAAGGGCTGTATCTGCAATGTTGCTATGCTGAGAATGCTTTTCATAAGTGTTATCCCAACAAAGCTCATAAAAAAAATCACCATGTCTCTGATAGTTTTTGCAGTCATGTCTAATTAAAATGCCATTATATAGGGCATGAATGCAGTAATTATAATATCTGGGGAGCACAAACATTGACTGTCTTAGGAAATGTCAGAGCAAATCCAACCTATTTGATATCTTCAAGGGAAATCCCATTAACTCCTCATGTGGATAGTTGTTTGCGTGCTACTGTTTGTTTCAGTCTCAAAGTAAAGATGAGCAAAGTGGTTCCCACATAAGTCTAAATCAATAATGCTTCCCAAAGCCCCAGCTGGCCTAGGGCAGCATTTAAAATCTTTATGCTTTGACTGTGCTCAGATGGAGGAAAGCATTAAAAAACCTGTGGCGTATCCAAAAAGCCTTGGGAGAAAATATTTTCCTATATCAAAAAAAATCTCTGAGTATACAGATATTTCTGAGTATACTGGTTATTATCAGTATATATTGCTGCCTTGGCAATCCCTATCAGTGAAGTGGGAATATGCTGATATCCTTACTGATTTCTGTCCATTTGTTAGGAGATTCAATGCTCAGTTTCATTAATATAATTTCCAAATGTATCATGTATTAGACTATTTACTGGCTAGCAATGCAAGTGATTCTTTATAAGAGATGAAATGGCATGGAGTAGGTCAGTGCAGAATTTTGTGTATGCCAAGATGTTCAACCTTCTTTTCACTTCAAAAATAACCTCATGGAACAACCAGGAATGCTCTAAAAATACTTCTCTTCAATGGCACATCGTTACTCATTATGACTTCCACACACAGTGTAGGGAAATCTGAAATGTCACCTGCCCCTGTCACTGGATCATTGAAATCTCATTCATCATAGGACAACTAAATGTAAACAGTTACATGCAGAAAAAAAATTAAAAAAAGAATATATTCTAAATAAAAATTCAAAGAAAACTTTAGCTGAATGCAAGGACCTACTTAATGGTTTGGAGAATTTATATAATACACTTCTTTCATGAGTAGAATATATATTTTTGCAATTTTTGGGATTCTAAGGAGCTCAGGTGATGACCAAATGTAAGCAGAAGTTAAGATGGATTTTTTTGTTTGTTTGTTTATATTTATTGGCCCCACTAAATGTTTCTTCCTTCACTACATGTCCTGAGGAAAAAAAATGTTTTATAACTGCTCCATTGCTAATTATTCTGGTACATTTGAGTGCTGAACAACAAGGAAGGGGTAGGTGTGCATTTCCAGAGCTATATTTCCAAATGCATATACTTAAAACAGTATTTGTCATAAGTGCAAAATAATTATAAAAATAAATGATGACTTACCACTGTGCAACACCATGAACATAGACATCAGAAGAATTCCAATCATTTTTTATTTGACCAAGTGCAAGAAAAATTCACACAGCAGACTGGTTTGCCTGGTGAGTTAAGTAAAATATTGGGCAAAATGTTATGAGTGTAGGATGCCATTAAGTTAGAAAATCCTTCTCTTCTAGCCTGGCCATACATGTGCCTAATGCGGCACAGTTTTTTTCTCTTGTAAGTGCACATAATACATCAAAAATTGGTCTTATATATGCTCCACACATTATCAAACTATCAACTATGAGCCTGATTAAAAATATTAAAAATATTTACTTCAGTATTGATTTAGGTCAATAGGTTCCTCGAATTGCCATAGACAGGGCAAGTCCATTTAACAACGAAAGTTTTTTATTTTGCAATTTTCATGGCTTACTTGATCTAACAGTTGTTATAAACTAACATTCTGGAATTACTTCTACTGAATCCAGCTAGTCTACAGTTGCATGTCTTAGTTAACTTCACATCATATAAATCACTTTGTAGTCACACATTTACTCTGATACGTCTTGATACTGGTCTAAAGCATCATATATTTTCCCAATCAAATACTGTGCTGCATGGAAATCTTCAAATTTTGGATGCATTTGGCATTATAAAAATGTGTGTAAGGAATTATTCTGAAGCCAAAGCTCAGTGCTAATATTCAGAGAGATTTTGAACCACCATTACAGTTTATTCTAATTTAAAACAATTTCCTAAATCAAGCACAGAGTTTGTTTTCTACAGCTAAAAAAATATGCATTTATTTATCAACTTTCAAACACGTACCTACTGTTGATTATCTTCTTCCTCAGGTGTAAGGTCATTTAAAAATCTTGTAATATTTCATCAAAAACTGAAGTTAGAAATATAACAGCCATAAATATTTATACTCTATTATCTGAAACTTCATACTTGTACTTCAGTCTACTACTCTGCTATCCTGAATAACTTTTCCATACATTTTCTTCCTTATTCCTATATTATAGAGTACATCTAGAAAAACTTACCTTGAGGGATATTATTCAGAAGCAGTTGCATGTAAAACAAATGGATTTCAGCAAAGTTAGTACTAAGTGATTTATACCCACTGAGTATATACCTCACCCATGTGATCAGTCCCCTTATCAAACCCACTTCAACATTTATTAATTAATCCTTCCGTGAAGTTCCTGAGATTAATAATGCCAGAAGAGTAATATAGCTCCAGTCATGTAAAGGATCTATACTGAGAGGTCTTTTCTGCAGGTGCACTCACCGTATAGTAACTTGCCCTAATACTCTGTGGCTGTAATTAAATAACAATCATTTCACTGTTATTAATCACAAAATCTCTGGGGCTTGTGAATATGGCTTTAATAGCTTGGTAAGAGGTGGTGTTCAGTGATGAAAGATGAGTGAAAATTTATACAGCTCTAAACACTGACATTCCTTAGGGTTGAGAAGTCTGCTCTTGTCTATCCACAGTGGCTCCGATCCAAAGCTGAATGAAATACAGGGTAAGGGTGAGTCCATGATCTTTGGAGCAGATTTTCCTTCCTCATGTAGATGTGCTTTCTGCCAAGTTCAGACACACATGCCTTTCAAGGATGCCATCAGTGAAGCTGAATTGTTTGTCTCAGATATGTGATTTTGGTGAAGGTCAGTTCATCTGTCCTGAATGTCAGCAGAAGGCAGAGGTAGAAACTGATGACAAAACAGGTCCCAGTCAGTGTGGATGGTGATTTATCCATATGTCGCCACAATGCATAGATTTCTGTCAAAGCTATGCACTGAGGCTTTGTAGCACTGAAGGCCTGATTATATGGATTTTTTTAAATTATTTTTTCCTAAGAGTTCCTTCCTTCCTTCCTTTCTTCCTTCCTTCCTTTCTTCCTTCCTTCCTTCCTTCCTTCCTTCCTTCCTTCCTTCCTTCCTTCCTTCCTTCCTTCCTTCCTTCCTTCCTTCCTTCCTTCCTTCCTTCCTTCCTTCCTTCCTTCCTTCCTTCCTTCCTTCCTTCCTTCCTTCCTTCCTTCCTTCCTTCCTTCCTTCCTTCCTCTCTTTTTTTTCATTAAGCCTTGGTTTATATTCTTTGTCTCATTTAGTGTTTTTTGTTTGTTTGCTTGTTTGTTTTTCCTTTTTTTTCACCATTATTTTTTATTTTCCTAGTGGGCAAATCAAGCAGTAAGTCTTGAACAATTGTGACAAGAAAGTTGTCCTTCAGGATATGTGATATAAGCTCTTTTCACAAGAAACACACTGCTATGTGGCACCTGCCAATTCTCTCCCCATGAACACAACGTATTAGTTCTCAATCCTTTCCAGGACCTTAAAATGGAGATAGCTGTGACCTACACACATTGTCAGACATGATTCAGGTTTAGCATATTATGGAAGTTGGCACTGTCCCAGGACTCACATTTCTTCAGGAGAAGAAGAAGCTAATTATTTCTTACAGATGCAAAAGCCTCCAATAGCATGGAGAACAAATACAAGCCAAACATGTAAAAATAGAAAAAAAACTTTTCCGAAGGGAGGCTTTTTATGAAAATATTTTTCTTTTGATACATTCTTTCAATAAAAACCTGAAAACAGGAAGTCAAAATAATTTTCTCCTTCCTTCCTTATGTTCATCTTTGCACGTCCTTCTTCAGTTCCCAAAAATGTAATGGTAAGAATGATTGTAACAAATAACACGCTCATACTTTGAACACACAGATACTTCATTGAAACACCAATGCATAGCATCTGCACTGCAAATACTCTTCTTTTGTTGGAAGTTTTAATGGCTTGATCATTTACTTAGATTTGACTGAATCGTGTTGCTGCAGCTTAGCAGAATATAGGATTGTGCAATTTGTTTGATTGTTGCTTCATTTTTTAGAATTGTCTTCTAGTTCAAAGGAGATACATATAAGTAAGATACATATAAGCTCACACAGATGTGTCACAAAGTGGGATGTGAATATCTCCTTAGTAGAGCTCTGCACTAAATGAGTTACTAAAGTAATGGGAGACACTTCATTTGGAATCGGGACTTCCAGAAATATTTCAGTACTTCAGGTAGTTTTTCAATTTTCCATATTTGTTCACTTTGATTACATTATGTTAATTGGGTACTATTGTAGCAAAAGATATTACATGCATCATATAAAAATCCTTATAAAAATCAATTTTATAAAGCCTTCCAATGTTTTTTATTATTATTTTTATTTTTTTTATTGCAGGTACAACATGTATAAAATGCATCTGTTTTTACACACCATTTTCACATTGCTTTGGAGGAAGACAGATTTCTATGTTAATATCCGGTTAATAACTTGTCTTGTTACACATATTTGCAAATAACCTACGTCAATCTGATCTTACACTGAAGTGAAAAAGACTACTAAAACTGCCACTGTTCCCCAAACTGCAGTAAAATTCCTCAGTGTGCTAGATTGATTTACAGATGTTCTTAAGGCATTTCTGTTTTAATGCTGGAAGAAAAAAGAATAACGCAGTCAGAACAAGTTTTACAAGGAGAATGTAAAAAACATACATGGTTATATAAGTCTGTTTTTTTGTTTTTTTCTTTTAGTTATCTTAAAAATCTTCATCAGATAACACTTTGAAGAGCAATCAAATACTCTGTGGGTGTCTAAGACTTTTTGTTATACTTACTGTGGGAGTAAGCAACTCTTTTGACTCTTTCACAGACATAACTCGCATTTTTCAAAAACCAGGAATAGTATTCAACACAGTACCTAAAGTAGTAAAATTAGAAGAGTGCTGTTTAGTTGTCTTTCATAAACATAACTCTATGTACATCATGCTGGTAATATTGCTCTTTGAATATAGAAATAAAAATCTATATTCTAACCTCTAACCTTTTAACCATTAGATGCTTGGGAGGATTCAGTTAAGCTCTATTCACTGACTGGTGAAAACCAGATCAATGCCCTGAGGCTCCATGTGGGACTCAGCGAGTAGCCATGGAAAAATTTGTCCTTGGAAGGAGTGATGAGGCATTGGAACAGGCTGCACAGGGAAGTGGTGGAGCTACCATCCCTGGAGATGTTCAAGAAATGTGTAGATGTGGCAAAGAGGGACGTGGTTTAGTGAGCCTGGTGGGGATGGATTGGTGGTTGCACTAGATGATTTTCTGTGGTCTTTTCTAACCCTAAAGATTCTATGATTCTAGGGACTCATGTCACTGATGACTGAAAGCTGTCACAGGAAAATGTACCATGGAGTATTTTAAGAAGACAGAAGCAAGTGAAACTGCTGCTAGATTTTACCTCATGGCATCCTTTATGGAATGTCTTCTTTGGCCAACGCAGAGGCACAACTGAAAAAACCTGCAGAGCTCCATCAAACAGGGATTGATCTTCTGCAGTGTGATGGTAACAGGAGGTGAGGTCACGTATGGGTCTTTGAGGATTGCCTGTGGGCACCCTAGGAGAAAAAGAAGCATGAACTAGTTCTAAAAACTGACCCATAAAATTCTGTTCAATGACTTTTCTGGGCAAACAGAAACACACAGATTAACAGGTAAGTTAAAGTCAAGTCTCATTGAGGCAGATAATTGAGAAAGAGTGAACACACAAACTGGCACTTGCTTGAGTGAAAGTAAAATGTGATTATCAATTCATTATTATTTATCACTTCTGGTAAGTTATTGAAATCATTGTTGCTTTTACTTATTACAAATACAAGGGACAACTCTAAAGATGTAATTTATTTATTGTTGCCTTTCCAGATTGAGGTTCATTTGCCACTGTAGCATTAGTTTTCCACAGCAGAAAGCAGTGAGATGAAGAGTACAACACACTTATTACATTTGATCTTTTCTATATACAAACACTAATGCAGGAATCATTTCCAGTTCCACAGTTTCCCACACCCACTCTCTATATCTGAATCTTGGACTTAAAACAACAGACCTAGTAACAATCACTCATCCTGTTCTTTTAATCTCCTTTTCTTATCCGTATCAACAAAACAAACACAATTTATGCAGGGGCTGTGGCTTTCTCACTGTCCATCTCTCTAGTTATCTTGCATTTTCCACTTTTGCTTCTACTGCCTTGAAAAATCAGCTAATTTCAGCCATGATTTTAGAAAAGAAATCCTCTGAGTAAATACTTTCCTAGAAGTTATAAAACTGCCAAGAATCTGAAAGAAATAAAGGTCATTTTTTTGCCTGCACTAAGAGGAAGGTAGGAAAAAATCCTCCATTTTACTCTTATTTGTCAGCTGCCAGCTGGTTAATCATTATTTTTTTTATTTCAAGTGACAACCCCTGTATTGCTTGAACTTAAAAAAAAAATGCAGGAAAATAGTTTATTGAGTTATGGACTGTTTCTTCCCTCTCCAGTGACAACTGAGAGGAAAATACCTGGTTTGTTCTGTTCACTGAACTTTCTGCAGTCAGCAGTGAGAGGTAAACATTTGCACACAAAACACTTCATCCCACCAGGAAACGCAGCTGTGCCAGGCTGCAGATGGATTAATACAAGAGAATAGGTGATGGCAGTTTGTAAGTATTTCTGTGTGGTTTTTCAGTGTGAAATACAATCGCCTTTCAGACTCCCTTTCTGTCACAGAAAAGAAAAGATGAAAATGAGGGAAAATGAGAAAAGGTAAGGCAATATTGATGCTGCTTTCAATTTTTTTTTTCCAGTGTTTTTCTGTTTCATATGAAGAAAGAACCATACATTAACCATAATCTTGTCTTCCTGAAACCGTACTCTGTTACCCATAACAGAGTTATTATGTCTTTTGCCTTTACTTAACAGTTGTGTTAGAGTCAGTAAAAATCAAAGGACTTGACAGAAAAAGAAATGCAACATGTAAAATGTGCTAAAAGGCGGCTGGGCACAGCTACAGTCCATGTGTGATCGTCACTGCTTTGTGAATTGAATAACACTGCTCTGAAGAAGTGATGTTGGAGGAGCACACTGTGCTTTCATGCCTTTGCCTTTCACCCACTGGGGTAGGGGAGAGCGAATGAGGGGAGCAGAAGCAGCAGCAGTGGGGATGCTGGCTGGCTATTCCATTTGTGAAATCAGTAGCAGGCTTTGGCCACGTGTTCAGATAAACTGCTGTATGCGCAGAGTATAATCCCTTTAGACAGTGTAATTGCATTTCCAGGTTCACATGTCTCACATGCTTTATAGCTTTGGGCTATCTTATGTTACATGATAGGGGAGGCTACTGGGGTCAAATTTAGACTAATGAAGTTCTGTTGAAATGAGATTCAGTTGTCTAGTGCTGACAAGAAGTTTAATATAAAATGGCATTCGTGGGCAGGAAGAAAATAAAGGCACAGCCAAGCTCAAAGAGATCTGATATGAAACAATTTGCCTTTGACCAGAGCTTGCTCAAAGTAGCAGGAATCCTGAAGGATAAATAGGTAGGCCTTGCAGCTACTGTAGTCTTGGTTGCCTCTGAAAAATGGCTATGGTCTCAGTGTCACAGAGTGCACAGTTCTCAGCTGAAATCAGTCAGCGTTGGGTGGGAGCCCCATTTCTCTTCAACTTAGCATCTCACTTAAAATCATACAACCATCAAGGTTGTAAAAGACCACTAAGATCATCTAGTCCAGCCATTAACTTGTCACCACCATGCCCGTTAATCCACATCCCTAAATTCCACTTCTACACATTCCTTTAACACCTCCAGGGATGGTAAATCCACCACCTCCCTGGCAGCCTGTTCCAATACCTCACCACTATTTATGAGAACATATTTTCCTAATATCCAACACCCAGGGCCTCAATATCTTTCTTATAATGAGAGGCCCAAAGCTGAAAACAGTACTCAAAACGCAGTCTCACTAGTGCTGAGTACAGAGGGACGATCACCTACCTCCCTGCTCCTGCTGGCTACACTATTTTTGCACAAACATCATCAGCAATTGACACCCCTTATGGCAATTAAAAATGACTGATGTCTTGCTTTAATAAAGCACTCTTTGTGTTAATAAGTGAACATCAGAGTATGTGGTAATGAGATTTCAGTATAGATGTACAGTAAGAAGTATGTTAAGTGTTGCTGGGAATAATTAAAATTGCTAATAGCCACCCTCCAATGTGTTTTAATGTCTCCACCAAGTGGGTGTTCACCATCCCATTTAGCAGGTATTGTTAGTGCTTTACTCAAGCTGTGTGTTTCGCCAGCAGAAATTCTGTTCTATCTAAATGTAAATCAAATGACAGCAATTTCAACATGGATTCATTTATGTAGGAAAGAAAAGTAAATAAAAAGTTGAAAGCTAAACAAATAACTCTGATATTCATTTCTAATAATAATTTCATTTTAAATTAATGCTATATTTACATATAACTGTATATGATGCTGAAATTCTCTTTCAAGTAAAGACTGATTAAATTTTATTTGGATTGGATACTATATTTATGTTACATTGTTGAAATCAGAATTTTCAGTACTTTATAGAAATTTCTTACATCTCTTTGTAAAGAGATTTATTTTATTGATTCAATTCGTAAATTCCTAAAAATTCAGATTGATACAAAGACATTTTCAACTAGAAATTTAATACGCCATTTTCTAAGAAACTGACTTGCTCAAAACAAGCAATAGATAGGAGAAACCGCAGCTGTCTGTGCAGAGCTTTGGTTTTGTCCTTCTGAAATTACTGCACTGCTGTTACAGGCAGGTAAGTGACCAGCCTTTGCAGTGATGAGCTCTTTCCCCTAGGAAGAGGATATCAGCTTTCTCCGACTCTGAGGTTAAATTTTGCTGTCAGTGAAAAGCAGTATTGTGGCTACTGTGAGTAACATAGGCTTAAAATATCCCCCTCTTCATGGTATAACATGCTCTCAGATTTTATTAGTCAGAATGAAAATGAACAAGTAAATATAAAAATAAATCCACTTTTGTGATTTAAGAAATGACTTCCTCGAGTAATCTCTTGACCTTCAGGGTATTGTGGATGTTATTCATTGTTTTGTGATCCCACTACCTGATTTTTTTCTCAAAACGCCACAACTGCTATGTGCAGGTGGACAGCATCTGCCATGGTTTCTGATAGAGAGGCATTCCATTCTTTGCTGTCATTGAAATCTGTGTTTTCCAAGCTTTATTCCATCCAAAAAGGATGGATTCCCACTCATAGATTTATCTGGGCTTATAGGGTTGTCCACTAGGTAGCAAACAGCAGATGAACAAAATCTGTGAGTGGACTTGTGATGTGCACTGACCAGACTCCAGCAACTTCCAGTTAGGTGGTCATTATTTAGTCCTCAAACCAAACTCATCCAAAGCAAACAAACAACACAGAGAAGTTTGTTTGTTGTTTTTGAAGAATTATTTCTTGATGGACCAGAACTATCATATTCCTCTGATCCTCATCAAAATAGAAGACCTTATTTATCTTAAATTCTTCCCCTCACACCGTCGAGAGTGAAAAGAACAACATGTTGGTTCATTTTCTTCACGCAACCAATGCCACATGATTTGGTTTCCAGTGTGATCACTGGGAGGAGGGGATGCCAGCGGCCCTGGAAGTCTGCAGGATGCAATGTGTAAGTGGATAGGTTGGACTTAGACTCACATGCTCAGCAACCAAAATCAGGGAGGGCTCTCCCAGAGTGCAGACACCCTCTCTGACTTTGGATCAAGTCCTGATTTTGAAAAGATGTAACCTCTTTTTAAATACTTACAGAAATATAATTTTACTGATCACATGACTAGACTATATTTATAAATGGAGTGGCACATTATCATACGTGTACTACTTTAAGCTCTCATATTCTAATTGATTAGGCATATAAATGGAAGAACTGAACTCTCCTGAAAATTGAGCTAATAATGATCCCTCGTTAGTCCAAGAGGGAGTTTTCACCATTGAAAACTCAGGGAAATTCTGTATATTTCATATGACGAGGATTGACTTAATCATTTTATTTCTACCAACAAGTAAATTTGAAGCTTGCCCATTTCTTTTGGAACAAATGAATTTTATGATTCTTCAGTAGCCCCTCCATGTTAAAATGGAGAACATACAGAATATGCAAGTTAACTCCGTCAGCATAGCAGAATTTGTTCAGTGCGAAATTATGCAGGATTCAGAAATATGGAAGCAATCTCTTTGGTCTTTGGGATGTTTTACATGTATAAAATGTACTATAATATATATTAAAGATGCACATTTTTTTCTGGATGAAAAATTGCATACTGGTGAACACTCAGGCTACTATTTTTGCTGCATGACGTGCAGTCACTTACGAGCAGCCGAATGAAGTTTCAGTATCAGGCCAGGTCGGTAGGGTGGAGTAGACAGAACTGAAGAAGGCAAATCTATAGGATGGAGAAGAATATAAGAGGCTTTGATGTATTAACAGGAAAAAATAAATAAATAAATAAAAAAATCAAGAGTAAGTGGAAAAAAAAAAAAAAAAGCTGAATTCAAAAACCAGTAATATACACTTCTGTAGAATTCACATTCTGCGTTCACAGTCACGTATTTTACTAGATGCTATTTTCTATTTCAGAAACATGCCAACTTACACACTTTGTTATTTTCCCAAATCAATCTCACCTTGCTCTGTTTGTATCTGACTGTTGGTGTCTTGAGGAGGCACAGTCTGCACCCAAAGCATGTTCACATCAGCTACAGAAGAGAAATAAGTGTTTCATTTCATTCAGAAACTTTGTTTTTTATCTGTTTACTCTGAAGTCAGGAATAAGATTGCTGAACAGTCAGGTCCTTACCCCATATTTCCAGAGACATGTAAGGATTTCAAGATGAAAAAGGAAGGACAACATATGTATTCACTAGATCTTGGAAAATATATTGGCCAAGAAAAGATAGGATTTAAAGATGGTTAATGTACTGGAGACCCAGAGAAGCAGTTCTGTACTGCTTTTTTCATAGGTCAGTTCACTAGGTTTGGAGCAAAATGTGAGCAAAGAATTGGTTGGCAGGACTTGGTATTCCCCAGAAGAACTAAGAACCTACAGGACAGTCCCTCTAAGTTCTTTTAGCATTTCTGTGATACAGGTATCTCCTTATTAGTGACCCAGAGCAAATCACCCTGAAGGTCATCCCAACCTCCATCTCTGAAATGTGTTTTGGGATGCACTTTTGGACAAACTCCAGAGCTAATGGAGTAAAGCTGGTATTGGTCCTCCATGCTGAACTCACCAGGGCTGGGCTGCAAGGCTGGTGATGTGACTAAGGTCCCCTCAGAAGCAGGAAGGACTCCAGCTGTGCCTTGTGGTCTTGAAGTGTCTACATGCAGTGATGGAAACCCTGATGCCTTTGTACTAACCATCTTTGTCCATGGTGGGGGCCACGTGTTGGGACTGTCCTCTCCTTTCAGGGCAAGAGGAGTGCTGGTACCTGAAAAAGCAGAAAGATGGAGGGCACCAGCAAGAATAACATCCCGGGAGACAATAAATCCCAAAATACACACAGAAAATCCAATAAAATCAAAAACATACACAGGAAATCCCACCTACTCTTCGAGTTCTTCCACTAGCAAGTCAGATTTGATTTTTCACTTCATTTTAAAAATTTCCTTTTATAGCTTTTTTTCCAGAAAAATACGTGGAGTGCCAATAAAATTGGATATTTTAACTGAGAACATTTCAATACGCAAGTTTACATATACAAACAAACAGGAAATAAAAGCAGCTCTCCATTTATAAAGGCTGAAGGAGATGGACTTTTTCAGCTTGGAGAAGAGAAGGCTCTGGGAAAACCTGATAGCGGCCATCCAATTCTTAGAGGAGCTTAATAAACAGGAGGAAATCAAACTTTTGACATGGCTAGGTAGTGATAGGACAAGTGGGAATTGTTTTAAACTTAAAAAAAAAAAAAAGAAGGTTTGAAAATTCTTTACTCTGAGGGTGGTGAGACACTGGCACAGGCTACCCAGAGAGGCTGAGGAGGTCCCATCCCTGGAGGCACTCAAGGTCATATTGGGTGGGACCCTGAGCAGCCCAAGATGGTGGGTGGCAGCCCTGCCGGCAGCAGGGGCTTAGAACTAAATGATCTTTAATGTTCCCTCCAACTTGAGTCATTCTATGATTCTGTGATTAATGGTCCTTTCTACTGAGAGAATTACAGGCCTGATCTACTTGTTAAGACAAACTTTTATCTATAGTTTAACATCACAGTGGTTTGCAGCAAAGATATGCTGCCACTTGTCAAGACATTAACAAAGGATAATATAAATTTAAGTCTGACAATATTTACTCACTTTTAAATGTCCGTGGATGTTCTGCTGATGGATCCACAGTTTTGTTTGAGTCTTCCTGTGATTTCATGAAACTTGAAAAAACAGAATCTAGATCTTTGAGGCGTGAGAAGATAGGGTTAGTACAGTCAGTATCAGTGGCAAATTGCATGATAAAAAGGAAATACATTGGGTTATAATATAAAAGAAACAACTGTTCTCCTTTTAAAAGAAAGTTATTTTTTAGTAAAGTACCTTTGATCTTTTAGTTTTATGCTTTTTTTATAGCAGATGAGAAACATCCTGCAGCTTTCAGCACAGGTAAACTTGCCACTGATTCCAAAGGCTTCCTGTCAATGATAGGTGGAGTATCCAGGCAGCGCAATGGATGAGTATATTTGATTCCTTTCTGAGGGTTACTCACATAAAAGCAGATTTTTCATTCTGAGAGCTAAGGCAGATTATAGAATCATCATTTATTATGCTTCTATTTATTATAGAAGCATCGTTTGAGTTGGAAGGGACCTTTAGAAATCATCTAGTCCAACTCGACTGCACTGAGCAGGGACATCAACAGCTAGAGCGGGCAGCCCAGGGCCTGGTCCAGCCTTGCCTTGAAAGTCTCCAGGGACAGGGCACCCAACTTCCCTGTACTGAGCAGGGTCACCTACAGCTAGAGCAGGTTGCTCAGAGTCCTGTCCAGCCTGACAGTGATGGGCAATCTGGATACTCATTTGGACCAAAAATATCACACAGCTTCACCAGTCCAGCTTTTTTTGTTGTTGTTGTTCCTTGCATTGGATATTTATATGTCTGTAGATTTTACTTAGTTTTGCAAGACGGAGAAGGAACATTCATTGCAAATGCTACCTAGACATGGTTTTGATTGTAGTTACTATTTCTTTTTATTCCCCAGGATGTGCTTACCCAGGTCAGAAGATGTATTACTGGAAAAGGTGTAATTAATAACAGGAGATTTCTCTACTATTTCCCAAAAGTCAGACAGATTTCTCCCTGCAAACATAAAGAATTAAAAACATGAAGATGGACTTGTTTCTCATGTGACATCACTGTGAGTAAATAAGGCAATAATTGAGATGGAATGGTTTTTGAATTTACCTGTTTGACCTGTCATCACACAGATGTAGATACAGTCTGAATCATTGCTCTGACGCACTGCAAGACAAAGCAGTGCAGAATAGATAATTGTTACTAGCTTTCATTACATGATACAATCTTAAGTAGTTGAAAATGTAAAACTGAAATGGTATGTGGCTACTACAACTGAACGAAAATTTTCTTTCAAATTTCATTTTGACAAAGAAATCAAAATATCAGTATTTCCTGGATAAATGTTTCTATACAATTAAAATTTTGAATTACTCATACGTTTTCAAATAAAATAAATCTCAGAAAATATTGACTATTATAATTTCTTGGGGCTCAAAATTTCCCTAGATACCAGCACTCAATTACTCAATTATAACGTACTGAAAATTCAAGGAAAGAAAGAAAAGATACTCATAGAAAATCATATTGGAAAATCATATTGCTCCTATGTGTTTGTATTATATATACAAACTGTATTTTTGTTCTCTAAGGAGGATTTTTTTTTTTTTTTTTTTTTTTTTTACAACCACTGGTTATGCTTTGCTAGATAAATGATGCTGAATTAGAGCAATAGGATTTTATATACATTTCTATGCTTGTTTCCATGCCAGGACTAAATAATGCAAATAAGGCAACAATAAATACTGAAGAAGAAACGCAAACCTGAGAGAATAGAAGTAGATTTGAAAATTTCTGTGAGATAACTGGTTGAGTTTCCAATAATATCAACAAGTAAAGCAGTGAAATCTAGACAACAAAATAGAAAAATTATAACTGAAACACATATTCCAAATTTACATTGGCAAAAATTAACATGATAATATGCTTGAACATGAAAATGTTTGAAACACTTAAAAGTTCAGAACTTTTCTGCTGAATAGGAGTAGACTTAAGAGGCCATTGGTATACTTATTTGATTGCCAGCCTCTCTTGCATACCAACCTGTTAAGTCATTTGTCACGTTGTTTAAACAGTAGCAGTAATGCATAGGGAACTTGCCAGGGTCAACGTTTTTCAAGCTAGAAACTGTAGAGAAACAGAAAATGGGTGTCTGGACGTGCAGCCACATGACAGGGACAGCTCCCGCACCAGGCAAATGCACTCACTGTTATAAATGGTGACTGACACTTTGTGGAAGGCAAATGAGCTGTGGGACGTGACACTCAGCAAAGAGAAGAGCTTTTTGGTACCTGCAGAAACACGTGCCCATGTGATTAGGAGTTAGAACAAATTATGCAAACAGAATGTTTTGGCTCTGCTCATTTGATTTCAAAAAGACTCCTGAGATACTGATATGATGCAGATGCCTGAGACTCAATTCCTTCTCGTTACCACTGAGGGATGGTTCATCAGCACTACTTTCTTAAAATAAATAAATCAAGCAAGCAAGAAAACCTTCACTGGATTATATAGTGCTTTTTAAAGGCATCCCATAAGTCATTATGCTGTGCCTATCTATGAACACACTAATTTATAAATTCTTTGGGGTAGGCAGATGTCTGCATTAAGATGTGCAAGTGTAACTTGCTCTGAGAATTAATTTTGGATGCAGACAGCATGCATTTGTAGCTTCTCCTTCGACCACCAACAGTTCTTTATCTCCCTCACTGCCACTGGCAGCTTGTCACCTCCCCAGCTACTGCAACGTCACCTCTGAGTGTTGTGCTCAGCATCCCATTCACCAGCTCAGTCAGGTTAACAGCAGCCAGATCCACGGACTTTGCAGGCAACTCTGGAAAACAAAGAGTCTCTGGAAATGGCTGCTAATCACTTGCTTGTACGAGGCAAAAAGCTTTCACAGTGAGACAACAAAATGAGCAGTTTATGTATTGAGGAAATGAATATGCCAGGAGAGCAGAGAGAAGTACGGAAAAATCACAAGATAGAGTGAGGAGTGCAATGGTACCCAGAATTTAGGCAGTGCTCTGTGCCAGCTTATGCCTTGGGAGGTGGCGGAAGGGAGCAGCATCCTGGTGCCCTCTTGTGCTGGTGATGCATGCTTCCTTCCAAGGCAAAAACAGAGCACACAAATGGAGGAGAAAATACCTGGGAAATCCTCCTCCCTTTCCACAGTGCTACATGATTATATATATATATTTTTTTTTTTCTTTTCAGTTACCTTGACTAATATACTAATACTGCAGATAAAATTAAAGCTGCTGAATGATGCTTTTTATTTAAAAGATGTTTCCTTTCCCTTGATGTTGCTTGCCTGCTCTTCCCAGGTCTGGATCTCAAAGATGTTCTTTTCATTCCCTACCATGAAGTGATGAAGAAGCAGAGTGACATGGTGCCTATGTGTGTGCAAGGTTGTCTGTGAATGCATGACAGAGAGGAAAAACAGAGCAGGACGGAAAAAGAAGCAAAGAAACCCAGAATGAGAGCAAAATCAAATTTGGAAAGAAATACAATTTTCCAATGACATCAGTATTATTTTTAACCAGATCTAAACAAAGATTGTGTGAAGCTGTGTCGGAACAAATGGAAGTGGCAATGACAGAGCAGAGCACTGAGAGACTCACACCCCCAGAGATAACAGAGGAACACGCCTTTGGTTGAAGGGCTCTGGAAGGAGAGTAACTAAAAAGAGGCACCACCTCTTCACATTCCCAGAAAGAGAGAGGTTAAGTTGGCCAAGGATCTGCACATGCTGGGACAAAGAGTCCTTGTAGCAGAGGTGGTTTTGGTATATGGACTCCACAGGGTAAATGCAAACTCATTTTCATACAGCCCTCTTTCACCAGTGCCCACGAACAGGGTCAAAGGTTCCTGATGTGCTGATGTTACCTGCAGTAGCCAGAACTGCTGCTTGCTTCTCTCTCTTATGCATGAAGTTTTCTCTTCTTATGCATGAAGCTGTGAAGCAAAGAAAGAGTCTGAGAAAAAAAAAATCCCTGTTGAACTACCAAGTGTTTCTCAGTGCAGCTCTCTGCTGGGGTTACTTTGCTGCTCTTATTCATTATGGCACAGAAACCAATGGACACAAGCACTGCAAAGCAGCACACCGAGTATCCATAACAGCAGGAGATTAAGTGCCTAGCAATAAGCATTTCCCAAAAGACCTTCCTGGTCCATTAAATGCCAGCTAAATGGGGAAAATGAATTAATTATCAGAAGTCACCCCCTTAACTCAAGAATCAAAAACTAAAAATTAGTAGAAAATTGTTTTCACAGATTGATCTGGGCTTGTACTCAACACTGACTGACAGGGATGAAGTAAAATGAGGCTAACTCAAAAGAGATCTACATGTAAGTTCGTTATGAAGAGCAGATGTTCAGGGCTGTTTTTGGGGGAACAGTCTGGAGTGGGGCTCAGCAGTTAAGGCTCCTTTCTGGAATTCGCTTGATAATGAACAAGGGCAAGATGCAAAGTAGTGATGCAGACATTACAGACAGGTTGTAGTGCAGGACTTAGCTTAAGCTCCCTACCCCATCAGTGGAGAGCTGAGAGCCTCCAGAGGGAAGGCTACCCAAGAAAGCCAACACTTGCTATGTTAAACTCCCATGGAGCTGGTGCTGAGCAGGGTTTGCTTCAGTGGTGGTACTCCTATCAGCCCTACAACTCAGAGCTCCCACCAGACAGTAGGAAGCTTGGGTCCAGTTTCCTCTTCAGCAACAGGAAGGCTGGAGGACCAGAAAAAGCAGAAGTGAAAAATAACCTGTACATAATCCATGGTACAAGGTCCTTAAGTCATGGCTCCCCATGCAGTTCTAATCAGCTGCATTAACATCTCACTTAATATGTGCTAAATTCAGACTGACAATCTAGCTGATCGGTCCAGCCCATCACACTTGCCTGTGCAGTGTGAGAGAACAGAGTACCAGGCCTGCTCTAGATGCAAGAATGGAGAAATCTCTCAGGCCATGGGAAAAGTTGAAAAAAAAAGATACCATTTTTGTTCCCCAGGGAGCACCAAATCATCATCCTTACCTATGTTCCAAACCAGAAAGAGACACAGAAATCCAAGGCTCAACTTTGCAGGCACATGCCAATAGAGCCGCCGCATCATGGATTCCAATTTCCAGTGGTTTTTGCTGCTCTAGGAGAAAGAAATAGTGTTTTGGTATTGTTACTGCTTGTAGTATGTGATTTGCTCCAACCCTTGCTGGGCTTTACTGGGACTCGAAGAATCATAGAATCACTCAGGTTGGAAAAGACCACAAAGATCATCTGGTCCAACCATCAGCCCATCACCACCATGGCCATTAAATCACGTCCCTCAGTACCACATCTCCATGTTTCTTAACAGCTCTAGGGATGGTGACTTCACCACCTCCTTGGGCAGCCTGCTTCAATGCCTCACCACTCTTTTAGAGAATAAAGTTTTTCTAATATCTAACTTGAACTGCCCCTGGAGCAATGTAAGGCCAATACTCAATGAGGTTGCCTACACAGTTCTCTTCCTGGATAAACTGTACCCACAGCACACTGAGACATTAGGTTCCCAAGTCTTCTTTGGTGAATCAAGATAAAATTTACTTAGATTCAACTTCAGACCAGTCGTAAGATGAGCTCTTTTTTGCAGAACTGTTGCTTGCCCAGTCATCCTTAATCTTATCACAGAATCACAAAATGGCCTGGGGTGAAAAGGACCTCAAAGGTCATCTGGCTTCAGACCCCCTGCCATGGGCAGGGTTGCCAGCCACTACATCAGGTTGCCCAGAACCACATCAAGCCTGGCCTTGAATGCATTCAGGGATGGAGCATCCACAACCTCCTTGGGCAACCTGTTCCAATTTTCTATTTCTACATTTAATTACTCCAACCAAGATACATCCTGTGCTGCCTTAGTAGGGGCTAGAAAATAAGGAGGAATGTGCCCAATGTGGCCCTTCACCCCTCCCACTTTTTTTTTTTTTTTCGATAATGAAAAACGCCAAACAACTATGCATCTATCAGAAAATAAGAGCATGAGAGTTAGCAGAAAGAGGTCCAATTCTTTTTTCATATCAGCTAGCTCTTCTCTTAGTAGTTAATCCTACATGTATGCAGTGAACCATTATCTTGAAGGTAACACTGTTTGATTAACAGTAACCATCATGTTTAACATCTTACCCATATTTAATTCACTAGAGAATTAACACAGTTAAAATAGTTAACTTATACTTAGCATTTCTAAAAAGAAATCCTTCCATGGAATGATGAAACGATAGCAAACTATTCTGTATTTGAAACATCTGTGTTTGCTTGCTTGTGTATCAGAAGTGTTCAAACACTAGCATTGTAAATTTGAAAGCTCTGCAAAGTTTCTAGGTACCACTTAGCTATTAAGTTCATTTGTCTAATCCTATTGATCCACAGTTTCCTCATAGCATGTGCAGGCTATGGGCTGAGGATGAGAGAAAGCCTTGTCCAAATCTCATTCCCAAGATTTCACAGCCAAGAATGGAATGGAGAGCAAGGCAGTCAATGTCAGGGGAGGTTTGTAAGTACATCCATTTTGGAGCAGAAGGGCTATAGTGGCTGATACACTCAGTCAGAGGAAGTGGGTTGAGAGGATTATTGGCCTGTGTGACTGAGGTCACTTTAGCTCTGTGAGATCTATTTTGCAATGACAATTTTGTGTTTGAGGACCATGGACCTCAGCCTACATGTTTCTTGTGACCTCTTCCTGCACACAGAGTATGACCAGGCAGCACTGCCCATGCTATCTCTGTGAGTGCTGACTCAAGGGACAAAAACACAGCTAACACCACTGATGCCACTGTATCGCCCCTGCAACATAAGGCTGGCCTTGGCTGGAGGGTCTTTGCGGCTCAGACTGGGAGAAGAGCCCAAACTTCTGCCTTTCATGGAGATTTTGGCTGTGCAGCAAGAGAGAATCTCAAGTACAGGAGGTGGGAGAGGAGAACAGCCCCTGCCCCACTTACCTCCCCCTGGAGACATCGATCAGTGTTTTTGATGAAGTGGATCAGATTTCACTACTGCTTTATTTATGTCCCATTGCTGTCTGTGGTGGTAGGAAAACTGTTTAGCAATGGATTTGGTGCAGTGTGCTAACGCAGAGCTAGAGAGCATGTTTCCAACGGGCAGAGCAGGGAGGAGCAGTCTGACAAATGAAAGAACTGTCTTAACAAAACACACTGGGAGAGAGGAAAAAAAGGACTATTGAAAAAGAGAAAAAAAGAAGAGGAAAAAAAAAAAAAAGAGAAGCAGCATAGAGTTGTGCTCAGAAGCATCTGACAGACACTGAGAAATGCTTTTTTGCTCATCTGCTCATCAAACTCATCTGAGTTTGCAGCTCTCTGCTGCCCACCCCACTGAGATGCTCCTCCACATTAACAGCACACAGAATCTTCTCCACGCACCGCACTGCTCTGCAGCACAAATTCAGACCAGGCATTAGCGTGCCCATTTCATGCAAATTTAACTGGGATGTCATTACATGCTACAGACTCCACCAAGAAAAAATATCTAGTGATTCAAATATCATTCAAACCTGGAAGGATGGATCATAAACCGAATTCTGTTCTAGAATAAAAATATTAAGTAAAATTGCTATGGAATCAAATGGAATCAATGGAAAATTCTCTTTTCATAGGAGAATGTTCTGACTGATTTCCAGGTTTATCCCTGTGGTATCCCCTGATCATCATAAGTGCTTAAGAAGAAATTGTAGAGAAACTTTATTACTAAGAACAGTGCATTGGGAAGACTGCCACTACTTCTCAACAGCTAAAAGGCTGGTTTAAATTTGAAGCATTAGGTTTTCACTGCTTTCCAAGATCTTTTCAAGCATTAACACATTTGTGCTGTCCAATTAAAATTTAAAGACATCTGTGAGAAATACTCCTGGAACTTCTGCATGAGCCATCTTATCTCCCAGCACTGTGTTTAATAGTAATATTAGCTCTTGGACATATGCCATGTTTGTGTTACTGTGCTTATCTCACTTAAAAATTTTAATCTATCAGGACAGGACTTAATTACTTTGAAGCTGTATCTTTTTTTGTTTGCCAGTACAAGCAACACTACTGTGATGACTGAAATACGTTCTGGATTATAAACAGGAAAACTTTCCCATACTCCAGTTCAAAATCACTCACAAGTTCCACAAAAACAATAGCAAAATCCACAGGCATTGAAGGAGCAGGTGTCACACAACCATGAGCAAGCAGAAAAATCCCATAAACTAACTTTCAGTTAATGTTTGCCTTTCAAACATTTATCTGATACAGGCTGTAATTCTCCTTAACCTGCACTGAATGCAGTGATCCACTTTTTGTGTTGTTTTTAAGCTGAACAATACTAGAATACATTTTACTCAGGATTTTGATCCATAGTTCTTTGGATGGCTGAACTATAAAGCTTAATCCACTTCAGATTCCACTTATATACTTATGAAGACTTTTTATTAAATACGTCTGTGCTATTCTAGATTAGCAGTAATTTTAAAACAACATGGTTATGAGCTATGCTTCATTTGAACTCATTTTAATGCGGTAGGCAATCATGATTTCCTTTTTTTCTGTACAAATAGAGTGCAAACAGATATAAAGTAGTTTTCCCATACCTTCACATTAAACAGAGCAAAATGGAATTTAAGAGACCAAAGAATTGGGTTGGTTTTTTTTGTTTGTTTGTTTGTTTTTTTTAAGGAAATTTCTTGATTATTAATTTCCTTACCTATGTTCAGTCTCACCATCTAAAGGTCACCTCTCATCTTAAGCACACCACAATACACCAAGTTTAAAGAAATGTTCCACAATCCATTAGTATGAAAATACTCCTCTGTTAGAATTACACACTTCGTTAAATTGCTATAACCGCTTTTTAAGCTCAGGTTTATTTGTATGAGAGTTAGACGATTGTAATCAAAATACATTTCATTTTTTATGTTCTCACTCAACAATAGTAGCACAGGCAACATGATTCCTTCCAAATACATTTGAAACTACTGAGATTTGGAATAGCTGATATCAACTTACCCAACTTCTCTTGACAAAGATGATTATCTCCAGAGCCTATATAAAACAGGAGGCTATTGCCAGGTCTTAATAATTACTTAATGAAAGACTTAGAGTAGCCAGACTTGATAATCTTGCTTTAAAATCTTGTAAAAATTGTCATCCTAATCCCAGAAGGACCAACTGAAGGTAACACAATCATAAGCAAACAAAGTGCCCGTTGAATCCCTGATGGAATGACTCTGTGGCAAGCCAGGTCAGGGCTGGAAGATTCTTTTGGCAGTGATAACTTGAACTGCGAAGTAGAAGAATGGTTGATTTTTTCCCCCTTTTAAAGGGACAGCTTGTGTTACTGAAATAGGCCAATGCCACCTGAGAAAGAGAGAGCTTGGCCAGGTGAAGACACTTTCAAAAAGCTTTATCATGCTTGGGTTAGCAATTTAACAAGAGGTGATGCTCAGCAAATTGTGAAGATACCTGACGTGTGTATTAACTGTAGAAAATAAAAAGGAAGAAAACAAGCAATTAAGCAGAAAACTGCCTGGCATTGGGGTGAAGTGATGGGGAAGGAAGAAAGAGCTGGTTACAGTGATATAAGACAATTTCAGTGGTGCTGAATGATAATTATGTAAGCTAAGAGATTATCATCATTGGAAGCTGTCACTGAAATTTTGCTCCCATTTACTCTGGAAATAATTTCTCTGAAATCAGTGGATTTAAACCCAACGTGATTAAAAGTAGATAATCACCCATTCAATAGCTTCTCTGTAAGCTACAATCAACCAAAACATGTGAGTACTGCTGTCATTCAAACCCTTACAGCAATCAGAGGAAAGAGGGAAAAACAAAATGAATTGACAACTAGCTAGTCTATGGAATAAAAGGCGCCCTAAGGACCAGCTTAAAACCTCAAAAGCAAAATATTCCTGATCCCTGTTATAAAGGTAACAGGATAAAGAAGACTTGGCAGACATGATTCGTGTAAAGAGGATGTTAGAAATGGTCCCTGGACTTTCCTCAGTTCCCAAACACACCTTGAGAAATGTTGGGGCTGCTGGTTGACCCAGTTCAGAAGTGCACTGGGACTGTACTCTCAGTGTCATGGCCCTACAAATAGTATTGACAATTGGGTTGAAGGGATGGACTATGCTCCCCAGCAGTACTTAATTGATTATTGTGGATGTTCCTTATATTGTTTTCCTTTTGTTAGCTTTCTTCATTAAATTGTATTGCCTCAGCCTTGCACTTCTACCAGCTGAAGCAAGAATGCTATTGTCCAACAAAATCACTGTAATTTCCTGGTATGTTAGATATGACTTTCAGATTTCAATCTTATTTTGAGGGGTTCCTGTCTTCCCATAGAATATTAAATTATAGGTCACATTACGTGTGTAATAGAGTGTTGCCTTCACCTGCACTTCATCAAGAACTTTGGAAACTGGAGGGCAATGTTTAACAGAATTGTAGCTGGTAAGTATGAAGCTGACGGTGCACACACACATGCTCAGTCTTACCTTTATCTTCTTGCACTTCGCCTTTCACTTTTACCTTATTTTGTGCTGGGAGGAGTTCAAGAAAAATTTCTTCTGAGAAAGAAGAGTGAAGTATTGGAATAGGCTGCTCAGGTTGATGGTGGAGTCACCATCTCTGGAGGCATTCAAGAAAAGGGTAAATGTGGCACTGAGGGACATGGTTTAATTGGCTGATGGTGATGGGTTGATGGTTGGACTTAGATGATCTTAGAAGTCTTTTCCAACCTTAATGAATCTATGATTCTATAATACAAGAAAACGTGTACTGTACTGTAACTAGTGGGATGTTATTGTGTCTAGAATTATCTGATTCTTTTTTGTGTGAATCATGACTAACTGAGGAATTTGGAAACCTTTTTTCATTGACTAGACTCACCTTGTTTTTACTGACTTAATTACCAGTTGCTCAATATCTCATTAGCAAAACTGGAATGAAAGTCCTCTCTGTAACAGCTGACAAAAACAGGTATAGCCAAGAAAATGTGTGCACTGGGATCTGTTCCAACTGTTTGATGTTTGGCTATGAGGATAATTTGACTTTCAACAGGTTGTACCTCATGCTGTGTTTTACCCTGGGACCCTGTAATTTTAACTTTGCTCAGCTGCAGAGCAATACTCAGGTGTCTGGGTAGGGACATTGTTCAGCCCCAGCCTGGACTCTTCGGGACAATGCCGTGTTCTCACTCAGAGCATCACTTGGAGCAAGCAGCTTTCTCAGGAGTATAGTCTTTACATGTCTTCTTTCTCCTGTGTCTCTTTGTGTGACAGAACTGTGTCCATAACAAGTATCTCAAAATCCAGAATGAGAAAATAAGTCATTTTTACTATGTTGTCAGCAACACAGTGAAGATGCATCATTCATAGCAGTTGCCATGTAAATGCATTAGTTTACTGAAGGCTATGCAGGAGTTAACACAAGTTATATGCTGTGAATAAAGCCTGTGATTTACCTGTAAGAGAGAAGACTGGGAAGGAGGGAAAAAGCTGAGTGTTGGTGCTTTATCTCCCCATGGGTTGAGAATGCAGTGTTAAGGCGATGCACCACTACTTTCTTGCAATTTTTTTTTTTTTAAACAAAGCTCTACAGCATTTCTTTTCATCTGAAGCTACCACTTATTTATTCCTGTCACTAAAACATCTTTCCCGTTTAATTTATTTAGAATTGCAAGTGAATTCTTTTCTTTGTGACAGCATTTCTTTAATGTTTTTCATTGAGGTTTTGCTAAAGTTGGTACTAGCACCTCAAAAACACCTGAAAAGAATCATAATCAAACTCTGCAGTCATTCAAATTAAATTATTCCAGTAAGAATGTTTTATATATTTATGTTCAAAGTAGCTAACACTTTTATTTTATTTTAATAAAATTTAATAAACTTTAAAATAAATTTTAAAATTTAATAAATTTTAATTTTTTTTATTTTATTTTAAGTGTCTGACATTCACTTGGTTGAGAAAGTTAAGGTTTGCCTACACCAGGGACATCCAAAATTGCATCAGCTGCAGACAGCTATCACTTGTCCCACAGAAGAAGAATTAATAGGAACCTAGGAGCTGGGCAATACTCCATTCTTCAGCAAAGTCACTGACCTGTTGTGACAAGAAAAGAACAAAGCAGAGGCAGATGAGCTGCCTGAGTGAATACAGCAAAACTTATTTACTGAGATACACTCATTGCATAGTCATGAAAAGAACAAAGATATTGCAGTCATTTTTCTGCAAAGCAAATGTTCCAGCATAAATGTTTCTCCAGAAAAGCAGTGAGCACAATCACTGCTGCACAAAATTCACAGCTCCAGTTCGTAAAGAAAAATGGGAGCTACAGGGAATATGCTGAATCTCAAAACAATTCATTTCTGGTGGGCACTGATGGTTTTGCTTCTTTCTTTGCATGGTACATATATCCCATGAGATTGTTAATGACCCACACACTGCCTTGCACAGCTCCTCTGGGGCTTCCAAGGAACACAATGAACACTTTATGTTTGTAAACATCTAGACTCCTAAGGCGTTGAGATTTTACAGCAGTCCAGGACTTAGAATAGATTTAATCATTTACCCTGCGTTGTTATTCTGATATGTGTCAGACACACAGCTGGTCCCTGCAAGCCTGCCAAAACATTCACCACACATCTTACCTTGCCTTATTTTTCGTAAGCCTTGGTCTGTGTTCTGCTAATGATGTTTGACACAAGGAAGAGAAGCTGTGGAGCTATCCTGATTCCAGCAGACTACCAGCTCCCAGGGTCCCCTGTCTGAAAATTTTATTGGAGAGCAACTTCATCAATGGCAGTCTATCTCTATTGTTGGCCAGTGCCATGAGACTTGATTGCCATTTCTCCTTCCCTTCTCTGTGATCCAATAGGATGCTCAGGGTCACCCAAGAGATATTTTTTAATGAGCTAGTTTTCAAGTATGTGGAAAGAGTGCTGAAATATAAGCTCCCTGGTAAGTGTCCTGAGAAGAAAGGGAAGGATGCACTCAGAGCAGGATGCACTTGGAGAAGTGGAGAAACCACCTTTCCTGACACCACTACTTGGACTGTGCTGGATTCATCAGTACTTACCCTTTCTAAATCATTAAGGAGTCTTGGCCTCACTATGCCCAGCCATAGGACAATTATACATAATCACAGCATTCCAATGTATATATAATCAGAGCCTGCAGAAGTAGAAAGCTCTCTGGATATAAACAGGGCTCTGTCAGAAGATGGATATCATATTTTGCTCCCATTTAAGAATTCATTTTTTATAAAATCAGTACTAAGGTGTAAGCAAAATCCAGTGATTTGGCAAGCTTGTTCATTTGGGTGACTGCCAAGGCGAAATTTTATTGCAGTGTGTTTGTTCAGGTGAATAAAAGATGAGTGGTGCTCCTTTTAAGTCTATTAAATACCCATTTACATGTAATTGTTGTTGCTGCTTTGTTTTGCAGAAAATTTCTCCTGCATTCAGTTCAAACTGAATCCTTCATTGCTAAGTAATGTTAATGCATGGCAGTACAGGCTATAAAGGGATGTGAATACACTTGAAATACCTTTTTATTTTCCTTGAGAGAAATGCATAGAATAAAGAAAAAGCTGGTCTTGTACTTTTTCATTGTGGATAACTGAAGAGGTTCACAACACCTCTAGTAGGTTCATTTAAAAAAAAAATTCTTTCAATCTTCAGAAAATTTGATAGAATTTGTCCGTAAGAGACTGGCACCGATCCTATTTAAATTAATCTTTTTTAAAAGGAAACAAACCAAAAAAGCTGAACAAAATAAAACAGAAACAATTGGATGCTGTGGTATTTCAGGATTTTACGAGTTTTACCCAGTTTTCAAGGATATAGAAGTTAGACAAGAAATGGAATTAAATGCTGAATGTATTTTTACATACCACAAAAATTAAAGAAATGTTTTTAGGTTGCACTTCAAATTTAGGCAGAAAACCATGATGCTGAAGAAACTTCAGTGCTTCACCACTTATCATTAAAAAAAAAACTGTTTTCTTATAGCCAACCTCAATCTCCCCTCATTTGGTTTGAAACCATTTCCTCTTTTTCCATTACAACAAATCTTGCTTAAATGTCTGTCCCCTCCTTTAGATACTGAAAGGTTGCTAGCTGGTCTCCCCAGAGCCTTCTCTTCTTCAGCCTGAACAGCCCCAGCCTCTTTGTTGTTTCATATTGTTTCATGTTGTTTCATGTGCTCTGTCTTGTTTAAGACATTCAGAACTTCAGCCTCTCTCTAGCCTGATAGGATGTGATTAATCTCACCTTTCTTAGCAATCTGAAAGTCATGTGTTTGTCTAGTTGGTCATTTTGAACTCTGTAGCAAAGTAAGATATCACATCTGAGAGAGGAAGTCAGGATCACTTGTAACAGGATGGACTAAGTTTTCATTTTCCCACATATCTATGAACATGTGCATACAAGCTGCACAGCCACTAAACCAAAGAAATCACACTTAATGTGATCTACTGTGCTGTGTATTTCAACAGGACTAAGTGTAGAAACAAAATAAAATGTACTTTTTTTGCTTTTCCATGCAGTTGTGCATGGAAGGTCTTATGCCAGTGTCTTATCTGAGTGAACATTTGACACAGAGTTCACTGAATGGGTATCTTAAATGAAAGGAAAAAAAAATACTCCACATCATAATTGAAATTTCTATTTATTAATAAGTGGTGCAGTTTTAAAGACAGAACATAAAAAATCAGTTAAGAAGTATTGTTTGCATAATATATTGAAATAAACATATTAAAGTTGTTCAAATATTGGACAGTGCCAGAATATAAATTACACATACAGTTTAAAAATTACAATAAATAATATTATAAAGAGCACTAAAGGCCACTTGTATAAAAGTTGTGTTCCCTTGTCAGCCAGAATCTGAAAAGCATCTTTGTAGCATGGAGAAAAATTCAGTGAGCAAGGCACAAATACTAGTAATAATAAGATGCCATAACTAGAAAACAAAATGCAGTTGGCTATGTAACCTTCAGTCTCAGCATATTCTTAGGATGGAGATAGGATCCTGCTTCCAGGATTTTGCTTCACTTCACTTCAGACAAAAGCTGCTAAAAGCTGAATTGGGAAGGATCAAATCTTACAGCCTAAATACTCATAAGCAATAGTGACATCCAGGGTCTCAATTCCCATGGTGCCCTACTGTGGACATTTGAGAACAGCCCCTTTCTCTTCCTGCACCCCTGAAAACGATCTTCAAAAGGCAACACCCACATTCAGTTGAGTATCTCAGAAGGTGGTACCATTCCAAATTCATGAGACACTGAAGAAAATTTAGGTTTGCTCTTGGCACCTCAAGTTTAATGGAGGAGGCTGTGGGGTGCAAGGAATTATAATCCAGCTTTTCTTACGTTTTGTTCTGAGTGGGACAAATCCAGCTCCTGAAATGCCTGGACTCCCAGCAGGGCTGAATTTGCTCCCTAATCTGATTCTGCAAACTGATTGGGTTGTGATGCTTGCCTGAAGGCCATGAGTCAGCAGCCCCATCATGTGTAGATCAGTGATTATTTTGCAGCCTTCCTGGGCCACAATTTGAAGCAGAAAAATATAAAACTGTTTCCACTCTGAACTGTAACAGTGCAGCAAAGTTAGAGATAAGAATAGAACAAATATATCCAAAGTCAGTTTAGGAACAGATCCTATCGATCTCTCCATGTGCTTAAATCCTATATATTCTGACAGAGCCAAATCAATTAATCCAGTGCAGGGAAAAGCAAGGACAGCAACCATTACCTGACCAGATTTTTTCTGAAAGTATTTATTTCCTAAATGGAGCATAAAATACTTATACAACTGTGTACTTAGACTAGGCATTCATTTCTGCAATAATTAATGTTCTTGGTTTGAATTTAAACTGAGGAAGATTGATTGATGATAATGCAACAAAGAGAGATACTCAATATAAACATATGTACTTCTTCAAAAACGTAGAGATTTATAGTCACTTTATAGTGACAGAAAAATCAGTGTAAAAAAAAACAGGTAAAAAAACTATTTTCCAATCAGTGTTTTTCCAAGAAAATTCATAAATAAAGGCAGATTAGGGCCTTATGCTGACCCAGTGCATCGGTGTGAGCAGGTTTAGTGACTTCAAGGAGAGCAGAGGAAAGGCCCACACTTCCTAATTAATAAAAACATTTCAAGCCCTAAAATGGATTCTTGATTACTTGCAGGAAATAAGAGTCAGCAAAGAGCAAATTCCAATAAATAGTCTTTAATCCTAACTATATGGAAAGACAATGGAAAGATATGAGTCTAAGAAAACTAGTAGCTGTTAAACTGAAATGTCACATATTAATGAAAGATAATGGTAGCAATGGTAATGGGAGGATGGTTGGACTAGATGACTTGTAGGTCCTTTCCAATCTTGTGATTCTATGATTTTATGATAGAATAAATCTGTTATTTGTTCACATTCATTTTAATATGAAAAGCAGCATAAACTCAGAGGCCACTCTCATCTGAAATTGTGAATGTTTCCTTTTTTTGTGATAAACCTACTTCAAAATAGAGGCCCTGACCTCTTAGATCACACCACAGATACTTTATTATGCAGTGCCCAGTGTCTATGGCAGACACACAAATGGCGTGCCTTGGTTGATGCACTTTCTGGACTCAAACTGAAGTGCAGTTCTGATGAAGATCTTGTGCACATTCCAAATCTGAGATGATCACCAGGTTTCACCTTGTTGGTGACATCTGGACACATTTACATTGTCAACACTGAGAGCAGAATGAATGCTCTCTCTATTTTTAATTCAGATGATGCAGGAGGACAGAGCTGCTGAGCAGAACACCCTTCTGAAGTGACTAGTGGCTGATCTCAAAGGAAATTAATTCACTGGGTAAAAAATAATAAGTTTTTCAGACCCTCCTTGGCTCTCCCCCCATATTTCTTCTAGAGAATTCAGAGATGTCTGCTGCATAGGGCATTGCTGAACTTGCCATTATTACCTTCTAAAAGGCCTTAACTGCAACTTATTATGCCATGAAATATTTCATGATGTAACTACAGACACCTGACCCTGTCTTTTTAATCTACATATGATAAACTGGTGCTTACAACCCACAGAAAATGCTAACTTACAGGTGTTCAGCTGCTATGCACACAGAATGTAGCATAGCCCAAATCCTCCTTTCCTTGGCTGCACTTTAGTATGCAGATAAGATTGATCCAAACATCTGCCACTCCTTGGATTCTCTCTTGGAATTAATATACCTTTACAATGAGTTGATTTATGGATTTTCAGCCAGACTTAATACTGAGAAAAGATTATCTTTGTATGACTTGGCATGAGAGAGATTAGAAACCTGAACTGAAGAATTGGAGGCAAATTGGGCAGAGAAGTATGTAACAGCACATTTATGCACAACTGCATAACAAAGACATTCACAAAAAAAAAAAAAAAAATTCTCAGATTGCCCTTGCTTGTGGACTGCCTTGATTTTTGATTGCTCAGATCTATAAAACATTTTAACAAGTTCCAATCTGCACTGAAATCAGTAGGAATGCCCAGCACTTGATGCACTAGAAAAACGAAGCAACATCGGAAGAAGTCTAGCAATATTAAGATAAGTTTTCATTCCTTTTCATTCATCTCAGGAGGTCACTGATAAATACTCCTGTATAGAAAAGGCTGCAGTAGCTACGTATAGGTTCTTCCAAGAATCATTGATAGTCAAATGATTTTTCTCAACATGCCAAATTACAATGAATTACAATTTTGCAGCTAGTTTATTCTCATTGATTTTAGCCATGAAACTGCAACAAACAGAGGCTGTCTTTCAGATGAACAGCTACTTTGTCAAATAAGTAACTATTAAAATTGTATCTCATTATTGGCCTCAGATCAGCTTCATGGCCTCAACTCAGTCTTCGAAGGCTGTAATTGGTGTGATTTATTTACACAACTAATTACAAGAATTTCTTCTCCCTGAAGATCTGGCCAAGAAGGCTGTATCATGATTTTAGCTGATGAAGCAGATGAAATATTAGAGTAAGAAGATCCTATTTCTTTTTAGATAGCTCTTAAGTAAACAATGAAGATGAAGACAATGCCTGACAATATCTGGAACAGAATAGAAGTTCCCCAGATGGAATGATTATCATGAGATGTCAACAACTCTGAAGAATCAACAAACATAGAGCTGCTGACAAAGTGGGCAAAACCCAACAAGGTATCCTTCCACCAAGCTTGTGCAATTCCCAAGAGATACACAGGAATACCTGTAGGGTATCTCTTCTTGTCCTCTAATTGCATGTGCCAACAATGCTTAGCTGTACAGCCATGACAGAAAATTCACTTTGTAACATCCTCCCTAGCCATATCCTTATGCCTTCTTTGGTGGTAGAGACATTAGACGTCTGGAGAGGCAGAAGTCATTCTTAGCAGGAGGTGGAACAGGAGCTATGGCAGAAGCTGCACCTTGGATGATGCAGTGGAGGTGAGATCTTCATCCACTGACCGTGGGTGTCTGTGACATGTTTCTTGTACCCTGTGCTCACTGACTGTGCAGATTAGTTTTCCACCTGCTGTAAAGAGTGCATAGCAATTGAAATTGACATCAAATGGATGCTATTTCATGGACACTTGGATTGAGATTCTGCATAGGATATTTGGATAGGCTGTGTTTCACTAGCTGTATAGAAACTGCATTCGCATTTGTGGTGGTGAGATCTCAGATTCATTTCTGCCCTGTGCCCAGTGGACTGTATTGTTTTCCTGCTCTCTCTACAAAGTTTCCAATTTGCACAGGAATTGTTTGGCTGAGGCCTAAGGTGTAATCTTTTACCTCTGCTGCTCAGGCACAGGATAAAATAATGGCATTTATTTATTCATACATTGAAGTTAAATATGACTGTCATACATGGATTTGCAGCTGTCCATTTCAAAAAGAAATTGTAAGCTAGACACACATCTTCCTGCACTGTGGAGCTCCCAGGGAACAGAAAAGTGTTGCTCTGCAGATCTGAGAAGCTTAAAGCACTTCACAAACAATAGTGAATTGAGCCTCACAACCTGTATTTATGTAACTACGACTCCAAATAAACACACGGGCAAACCGAAGAACATTTGTATTATGGAACTTAACACTACATACACTATATAACTCAGTAAAAGAGTGGAAACTTGAGTTTCTCTGCAATGAACAACTTTTTTTTTTTTTTTTTCTTTTTGGAACAGAGAGAAACCTTGGCCCCATAAGAAAGAAATAGACTTAGCAAAATTTTTTCTACAAAATAGGACTGTAATCATGTTTCCAGCAATTTTATAATCACTAGTGGTAATTTTCAAAGTAGCTTGAGGAATTTATGCAGCAATTACATATCCAAAACTGATGTTAGTACTGGCTTTCATCATTTTTAATTCTACCCCCAATTTCAATTTAGCATTGTATTTCATAGGTAGTTATATAATAGATCACATGAGAAACATTTAGTTTACAACACTATTTCAGTAAGGTCATTTGCTTTGACAGCTTTTTCCCTGCTTGAATATTACATGCTTTTGGCTAGATAGGAGAGAGATTGAGTTACTTATATTGGATAATGGATTCAGATTTTTTATTTCTACAAAAGGACAGTGCTCCTGAAACTAATTTGACTTTGCTGCTCTGTTTACAAAGTGTAGCAAGGACCATATCTTGGCTGTTACCAATCCACCATTGTTGGTTGTATTGAAGAATATCAGATAGATATGTATCACAGAAGAAATCAGCTGTACCATTTATATAGGGTAAAGTCATGCAAACCATGCTCAAAACTAAGCTCCTTAGTTTTGGTAGCATGAAAAAAACTGCATTAGTAAATTGTATGAAATGGTGCAGAATGACTACCACTAATATCACATGCATCTTATGCAGCCATTGGTGTTTTGAACTAGTAAGCTTTGGGTGCAGAGTAAGTGAGATATACAAAGTATGCTTACATTACACGGAGAAGTCAGCCAGTGACTACCCTCCCACGCACTTCTAAACTGGCTTATTTGAAGGGGTCCATATTGAATCTGAAATTCCATCCCCTGTTGAAGACAAAGGCATGGAGCCACTTGGTGTAAAAGGGTCGGTGTCTGTGTCTGTTTCCCCCTCTGCTAGGTAGCGTTTCTCTCTCATCCACGCAGATCCCCCATTGGGGCCAAATGGGAAATCATCTCTGTCTTGGGAGATACTGAAGCCACTTGGGGAGCGCTCAAGTTCCTCATGGTTGACGGAGAGAAGGGACAATGGGGTATCGCTGTCTCTTGTCAAGCTCCTTCTCTGCCTTGGAGACACTTTATCTGAGTAAGGGCTTTGCATGTCTCCTTGGGAATGGTAGCTAACCTGGGAGTCCATTAATGTAAATATAGGCAGAACTGTTGGCCTTTCTGCATATGATGTTGAGGAAGGTGTGGCTTGCAGTTTGCCAGAGTTTTGCCCACCTGTTGAAAGAGGCTGTGAATGAGTCATGTGACCATGTGCTGAGAAACCATACGGACTGACTTTGTTGACTGGAACTTGCTGGAAGTTGTAAGGAGTTTCATGAGTACAGTGATCAGTGTATTTGTAGATTACTGTTTTTAATTCGGAATACTTGTTTTCTTCTCTCTTTTCTTTTGCAGGAGAAGCAATTTCTTTCAGTGGACTTATCTCAGCAACTTGTATTTGCAACTGTTCCATATGATGCATATGCATATCAACAAGAAAATCCAATTTCTTCCCCATGTCATTTACCTGAAAAATACCAGTTTTATTATATCATTTCAAGTCAGCTCTTCGATGAAACAGCCAACGCTTCCATAGGTGCACTGCCCCCTTTGTGTTGTCACCTTTATTGGTCATGAAGGCAACTATACAATAATCATGACTTTGCCTTGGAAGCTGGACTGCAGTGGATGCCAGGTCATCCACTAATTGCCTCAAATTAAGATCAGTCCCTATGAACTGTGTCAAATATCATTTTTAGCATTGCTGCATATTTGGCAATCCACTATTCAATGACAGCTTACAGCATTATGACCAAAGTCTTGATAGCATACAGTAAAAAGACATTACCAAAATGTGACAGATGAAGTTAACTTTGCATACAAATCTACTAACTCTTAACAGTCCCACAGCATCAGGGTTATATACCAGTACTACTTTCCTTTGTCTTTGAAAGTATGTTGTGCCTGACCATTTGCATTCCATGATAGGAACTGAAATGAGCCAGTGCCACTTGGCTCCGTCTTAGTTATTTTAAAAATAAGAGTGTCATTATGCAAGAGGCTAGTATTCATAAAGAGGGCTCAAAATACCTGAGTGAGCAATCCTTTTAAGTGTCAAACCCTTCAAAAGAACGGTGTACTCATGGTAAAATACCATGTACAGATTGGAGTTTAAAGGTATGAAAAAGTCTCGCCTAAACCATATGGTTACGGTCTGCAACCATACATAATTATATTCATTAAACAGGTCTCAAAATGCATACTTCCCAAGTAATTAAATTATTTAACAGAAAACTGATCACATAATTCTGTGATCATTAGTGCAAGACCTGTATGAGTCTTGATCTTCAACAGTACAAATCTGCATAGGTCAGACAAAGAATCACATAGAATTCATATCAACTTATTCTCCATCGTGGTTGTGAAATTACATACCTGTCGTTCAACTTTAACAAATTTGCCCATCATACTTTGGTCTTCAGTATCTACCGTAGATGCTTTGGCTACATATGGATCATTTCTATAAAGAATTAATATCTTTGTTAGCATTTAATTTTTCTTTTCATCACAGTAAGTATTTTATATAAGAAAACTTAAATGTCATCTTGCTGGTATATCAATATAGCTTCTTGGAGCCCCACTGAAGAAGCGATCGGACAAACAGGATAAAAAGATCACTGTATACAAGTTCAATACATTTCTAAAGAATGAACTTCTGATCTTGAGATTAAAATTATATTGTTTTCAATATCAAGATAGAGATCAAGGCAAAACAAATGTAAACCAAGAAAGCTCAAAATGGAAATGAAATTAGTTTCAAACTTGGTGGAATAATTTTAGATTTGTGAAAAATGTTGAAGTAATAGATAAAAAGGCTACAGATGTCATACAGCACTATTTTGAAGTCTAATTCTTTCCAATTATTGTGTTTAAAGACTTTGAATACAAATTTCATGGTTGAGTGTTTTTTTTTCTCCATTCCATTAACACAAATAGAAAATGGCAGAGAGTGGAAAAGCAGAGACAACATGGCCTGGAGATTTAAAATAGATTTCTGAATAAATTTTCTGCCATGCAATAAGTCCCTAGGCTTTATTCAGAGTGTATTAAGAGTGAGACCTTTGCAACCTACTGCAGGGAACCTGCTTTAGCAGGGAGGTTGGACTTGATCTCCAGAGGTCCCTTCCAATCTTACAATTTGTGATTCCATGTAATTTCCTATTGCTCACACATCACATATAATAAGGTGGTAAGAAGATGATCACTGCTCAAATAAGGAACCCTGATTTACAACACTGTAAGATCTGAAACAGTCATTGTTAAGATAAATCTTTACCTAAAGAGTTCCAAATAAACTTCAAAGAAACCTATGTCTTTCCGTAATCTATGGCAAAATCTAAAGAATTTGGAAAAGATATTCCCTGAAACTTTTGTTTTAACAGATTCAGCCCTTGTCCTCCCTTTCTGATGAAATTCACAGCTGTGAATAATATCTTAAAGCAGAAGCAATAACCAAAACATGCCAAATTTTGTAGGTTGGGTTACTATGGACAGGGCTTATGCAAATTTTGCAATCTGCTTAGTTTCCCAAATGATTATTGTTTCTTCCGTATGTGTAGGGCTCTGTCTTTGTATTTACATATTTTCAGATTTTTTCTGCGTGGGATTAACCAGATAAAGCCAAGTTAATTTATTTTCTGTAAAATTACTTTTGTCCTGAGAAACTGTAACAGCTTTGGGGACAGATTGTTGATAGTTTTGTGTGGTTCTTCATGGGTATTTAGTGACAGATTGATAGAGGCAAGTAACAGAAAAGTGTCATTTATTATAGAATTATTGCTACCAGGATTGCTGCAATACAATACAATGTGTAATTTTCACACCCAGAAACCTGTTCTTGCAATTCATTTTCAGTAACTCCTTCTAATCATTGATTTTAAAGCAGAATTGTTGAAATTCTGTGCTTGCCTTTTGATGGGGATTGTGATAAAACTTTTTTTCACTTCAAGTTGATAACTGGCTTACTTAAAGCTGTTGGCAATTTCTTAAAAGCTTTTAAGAATTCATTGCATTCATTGAATGCTAAAAATTCAGTACTTTAGCAATTGCATGTTCATATTTCATATAAAATCGTATTTACAAAACACAGAGAAGCTGACCAACGTAATTAAGAAGCCAATAAGATTAGATTTCCATTATACATTGTCCTAAGGGAAGCTAGTCTTATTCAACATTCACACTAAAGTATCTTGTAGCAACATATCTTTAATATAATATTGTTAATATAACATTGTTCTAGCTGTATGAATGAAATGCATGCTTTTTGGTATGAGTGAACATTATATTCTTGTTTAGGTCTGTGCAAAATACTAAGAATAATTTCACCTGGGAGACTGTTGTGAAGGGTAAGAAAAAGCTCCTCCCTTTTGGGATTTCTTATGCTTGGGAGTAGATGGAGGTCCAGGTGTAAAAATCATATCTACTCTGAAAAAAAAAGAGAAGTGCAACTGCATAAGACCACCTCTAAATGCTAACATAGCATGTTAGAACATGAAAGAAACTACTATGCATCTCTGCAAGACACAGTAGCAAAGACTCAAAGAGGAGTTTTGAAAATAGAGCTTAAAAAAGTCAAGACAAATCTTGAAAAAGCAAACTAGATATTTCCTAGGCACTAAAGTACTGCTGGACTATCCATTAATGCCCCAACAGACTCCTTTGGCATCTAATTATTCTTAGACACAATAAGCTGTACTCACCCAGTTTTGTCTGGAAATAGCGAATGGAGACTCAACTCAGAGGTGAAAATTTTGGAGAGAGTAAGGAATATTCATCTGACCAAATCTGGTTTAAGGAGGAATGAGCTGTGTCACAAACACCGTTGTTTACATTGACTAGCTCTCCATTAACTAAGAGAGGAATCTCACAAGACTTGAACTCCACAAGTGGTGTCTCGTTACAGTGCTGAGCTGAGGCTGTGCTGTGATTTTTGCCTGGGCTCACTCGGGATGAGTCTTCACCCCACACAGCACTGCCATAAATACTATGCGAGACAGGCATAATCACATCAGCACCTCTGCAAATTCCAGCAGTTAAGCATCTGGGAGAGATCCCCTGCTGCTGAAAATCATGCAACAGCTCAGTCTAAGTTAGTGGAATGACCTCCAGCACAGGGCTTATAGACCATGCTGCAGACACAGATTTCTGAGGTCATGAGCTCTCCTCAACTTTCTGAGCTCAAAAAATATTTTCATTTACATTAATTTACACTTGAAGAGATTTAAAACCTTTTGTGCTAATGTGTTTTTGCGCTTGTATTAGATATTTCACTGCACAGTTCGAGAGGTAAACCAGCCCAAAGGAAAACTCTGTGTAGTGCAACTACAGCTTTTATTGATCATCTGCAAAAAGGGGAGAAGGGGAAAATTTCACTATAATCAAGTGAGCCAGCAGTCAAGAAAATTTTTGATTACTGCATTCTACATGTGAGCCAGTGCTCTCTTCTGCTGCAGCTACCCCAGCTAGCTGCTCACTCACCTTTACTTTTTGGGGAAGAGGCTTTCTGATAGATCAGCTACACTGATCAGAGAGTGTCTGGCTGGCCTTGTACACATACAGACCAACTAAACTTTTTCCAGCAGTTCTACATTTTCCCCACTTCCCAGAGGATTCTTACCTTGCCTGAAGATACTTTATTCTGGAAAGCATATCAAGATGCCCTGCTGAGTATTGCTCTATCACATCCTTTACATCGTAAGGCCTCAAAGTCTCCTTGAATTTTTTTTTATAGAGACGAAACTGTAGTATTCTGTATAATAAAGGAAAACATTACTAAGCTTCTGTATAAATTCCAAAATGATCATTTGCATCTTCATTGAATATTTGGTAAAGACTCTGGATGTTGGGAACTCGATCATGTTATTTACATAAAAGGCAATAATAAGCAGAGAATCCCTAATGTCATACCATGTGTGAAAACAGTTGGCTTTTCATAACTAATAGAATAGATTTTCCTTAAAATATTTACATACACACATCTATTTCAGTATTATCTTAGTCACTAGAAATGGTTCAAAGCAATACGTTCAGATGGGGAACTCAAAGATCACAAATAACAGGAGATACTGAAGCTGAAGGCATGGTTCAACTTAATATGAAACTAGTTTACAGTATATACAATGCTGAATCATTATCAACTTGGTTTTCATTTTGCATCTGGGAGAGTTCTGGAGAGGAAATGCTAATTCATTAGGAATGTGGAAGTTCAGTAGTCAGCAACTGAATTTGTAGATAAAAGGAGAAAGTGTTAGAAATACCTAAAGTGTCCTTGAAAAATTATCAGTGTAACATTATTATTATCGCTGTGGCATTGTTATTATTATGTGGCATCATTATTATTATCATTACTACTGGTAGTAGTAGTATTAAATATCCTAGTAACAATAGAATCATGGATGTAATGTGGATCCATGCTGACAAGACACCTTGAAAACTGCTTGACATACTTTTCTAAAATACTTTCCTGTTTATTTATCTGTTCACACTTGTATCTTGGAAGGTTAAACAAATAGGTAATAAACGTAAGAATGAAATATCATTTAATTTCTTAATTAATTATCTTCTTAGGCTTGAAATCTAACTATTCAACTCTGTTACTTGTAAATCTTTCAGTGTTTGAGTTTTCAAAACTTGAAACGTGATTATTATAGCCAAAATATGTATGATAACACCCAAACTGTATTTAAAATAGGAAATGCACTGTTAGTGATTTCAGTTTAAATTCCTGATTATGACTCTGGAAACCCATTAAGAGGTCTTGTCTGAATGAATTGCCTTCTACTATCCTTCAAGGTCTGGATAAACTGTATAAGAGGAAAAAAAAAAAAAAGGGAGGAAAAAAAATCTTGGCTTATGATTGAGTTTAAAGGAAAATTACATGAAATCAATTAGATTTGCACAGGATATGGGAGAGGAAGTTTTGCAAAAATAATGATGACATGCCTTATGGAAGTGTACAAAATAGGGCAGATGTAAAGCCTGCATTTGAAACCAAGCAGGTATCAGGAGGAAAAAAAGGGGGAAATTATAGAGGGAGCAAGAACGGAGAAGCTTCCAGCAGGATGGAAGCAGTATTAATTTTTATTTTATTTGTATATATTAGTCAGACAAATCAGTATTGATAAAAATGATAAAACGAAAACAGACATCATGCTCATACAGAAGAAAATAAAGTATTGAATTCAGAACACTAACTTGTTATGGAAGTTCTGATGAGAATGAATTGGACATACAGACAATTGCATTTTGTGAAAGAAATACCATCTGTACACTATTTTCCTTTCTCAGCCATTGCCTGGTTATTAAAAATGAAGTTCATTGTGGAGGTGAAAAAGATGAATCCTGCAGGTCTTTAGCTATAATCTACCAACACAAGTTGTTATAGCATCCATAAGTTAAAAAAAAAAAAAAAAAAAAAAAAAGCTTTTCTGAAGTCATTAATTAAAATACTGTAAATGAATGTTCTCTAGTAATGCAGGTCTTACTCTGTGATACCATCAACTGAAAATGTGAAGTAAGATCTTTCATCACTTAGTAATTGACTGGAAGTTGTTCTACATGGAAACCACACTGTAACGGAACGATTGTGGACTCACTGAGAGCTTTGGCATGAACTGGGAATACATGCAATCATAATCAGTAACAATGGGACATCTATCCCATACACTTGAAATTGATTTATGAGCCCTTCCAGATTTAGAGTATATAATCATCTTCTTTGAGTATTTCTAAAGAACATAGTAATTGGGGCACTCCAGACTTTACATTTTTCAACTAGGTGTAGTAACGGCCTGATCCAAGATTTAACAACTACCAGAAAAAAAAAAAAAAAAAAAAGAAATGCAATGAAAGCAGAATATTTTCCTTGACAAAATTATAGGGAAAGAGTAAAAAAATCTGAGAGGTAATAGAGTACAGTGAACTAATTTTGTGTTTTTGACATGCTAAGCACATTATCAATCCTTACTAGAATTTTTAGCTTCAGGGAATATTTCATTTGATGCAAAACTGGACACAAACCATGGACTGATCAAATGGAGATCTCTCTCTATTAAACTATGACAGAGAACAACGTATATTGCAGGGTCATACAAATATAAATAAAGAATATTTATGTCAGTTGAGGATTTGTTGCTAAACTAAAATTTAAGCTTTACATGAATGTTACAGTAAGTTGAGCAGTATACTATAATTATAGTATTATATTATTAAATTATTATATTAATATATATTATATTATTATATAATAATATATATTATATGTTATATTATTATATATATTGTATATTATTATATTATGTATATTATTATTATAGTATATTTTAATCATAAGGTGTATAATATTGTTTTATAATAACTATGTTTGTGGATGGTCTTGAAAAAAATGGCCCAATAAATGTTACTGTAAAATATTTTCCTTCCTGCATATTTTAAAAGAGGACTTTGAAAAGGATTTGCCAGATGTTTTTCAGTTATCTACAGTTGTCTAGTCTATTGCATTCATAAAAAGAAGAACAGCAACAAGAGATTTCCTAAAGCAAACACTCAAAAACTATGCAGAGGTTAAAGACATTTACCTGACAGCTCTGATGGCTGTCTTGAATGTTGGAATCATATCTTCCATAAGAAAGTCACTACTGTCGCCTCTCTCTTCTCCCCCAGGTTCCCCTGTTCCTGCATCTGCAAGGTAGGTCACAAAAAAAATGTGTGAACATCTGACAACTTAAGTGTAATTTAGTAAAAGAACATCTTTTGCAGGTTTCTCTTACTGATCTCATGTAATTTCAGGGGAAGGATAATCAAGTCCCCAGAGAAGACACCCAAACTATATCCATGGTAGTATGGATATATGTTCTGAGGCCAGCTGGCACAATAAAGAAAAAACTGCCATTGAGAAAACATGCCAACACAACAGACAACAACAGAAAAATGTGTTGAGGGAAGCTGAGGAAAAACATCCTGTCTTATTGCACAGATACCCATAAATGGAAATGCTGGGGGTAGCTTTCCTAGGGAGAGTGGGAGGGAAACATCAGTTCACTCTACAAGACAAGGTTTAAAGGGTTTGCAATGAGTAGATATTTATGGGATACCTGGTCACAGGTCTGGATGCAGTCCTGCTGGGAGTTGCCTTAACATATAATCCCTGCTAATAAGCACAGCCATGATAGCAAGTGCTTTTGGGGGGATACAGATTCACTGACCAATGTGCCCTATTGTCCCATTCAAGTAGGTTGATTACATCACCAGCCAAATTCAATATCAATTGCTGTTTTTTGGAGGATCATTGCCTTATTTCAAGCACTGTGTTGCCTGGACACCAGCATTTGTTTCCTGGAGCTTCCCCAAATGTGCCACATAAAACCAGGAGATGGCAATGCTTGTTCCAGAAAGTTGAAAACCTTAAACAGAAGATGCAGAGGAAGAAAGTAAAATGGGGAGAAAAAGGAATGGATAGAAAGAAATCAACACAGATGGGCTACCTTCTGAGCTTTGCCAAAAAGCGTACGCTTTCATTCGGAATGCAGTGCGAAAACGCTCCTTATTATTCAAGACAACATTCTTAGGCTCTTTTGAAGGACTTTCTTCAATGGCATCTACATTCAGAGGGGTAAATAGCTTTCCTTTAGTATTGGTACCACGAACCCGATCCAAGAGACCCAGCTTTTGGCTACAAAATAAGCAAAAGTAATCATTTTCCTCCTTTGTACACTTTAAACTTCTTTTCATGATTCTTTAAATATAGAAGAGGCTAAATAAATGTTTTGTACACAAGGACACTGCTGGGGCTACCATAATACATCAGTGTCTTTGCAAACAACAGCAAAGCTCCACATATAATTAGCTGATTTTTATGAGAATTTTTTTATTGTATCAATGTTGAAAATGTTACCAGAGGGTCTTGCTATCCTCTTTATGTAATACATCACAATGCTTCAGCTCCAGTACCACATCTGAAGCATTAGATTTTTTATTAAGAAAACATTATTACTTAGGCAGTTATATTATCTAAAGGCAAGGATGCTTGGCCCTTCCCTCATTAGTGCTTTCTTGAACTACTGCATCTACAGCAGACTATTAAATGAATAACTCATGTGCATAGTTGAGAGGAGAAGAAAGGTCAAATGTGCCGTGAATCAAATAAATTGTCAGCAAGACACTGGAAAGGCATTGCCAAGTAATTACTTGCTACCCGCTAGGGCACGCCACCCAGTTCTCTCCATGATTCAATTTCAGTAATTTCTCACTATTCCAGAAATTTAAGTTCAAATTGTGGCAAAATGACTTATTTTGTTGTTCTGATGATTCCTTTCACTGTCCTCTTTCAGAATAATGTACCAGGTATTGTCACATCAATGACAATGTATAGCTAGAGTTACATCTACCTGCCATCTTACTGGCATCAGTAACCCTTCTCATAGCCTAATGACCATAATAGTCTTAAAAGTAATTAGTAATACCACTGAAAACAGCAGAATGAAAGAATTTGCTACTTAGTGTATTAACTTAAGTATGCTCTGAACAATTTGAATGTGATAGGTGGTGTAAACATTTGATTTTCTTGTTTTGCTGCTAAAAATATATTGTTTTGAATACTTGATAAAAAATGTTAAATGTGGGGCTAAGTCATGAGAAGAAAGCCTGCCCCTTACTCCAATCCAACAGTGCAATGGGGAACAGCTCTGGAAAGAGGTGAATTGTGCGCATGTGGCCAAGAGGCAAATCTATGTGGGAAAGTAGGGCAAGAGGGCTCAGTGGAGTAGAGAAAAAAATAGAGCAGTTGACAAGTTTATGAGAGCCACAGGCGAGAGCAAAGCTGAAGGAAAGAACTGATGGCCAGGGTAATGAGATTTGATTGGTATTCAGAGAGGTGTTTGTACATATTGTTCAGCTGAAGCCGCTGAACATGCTGGTGTGGAAGAGCAAGGATGGAGAGGGTCCACCCTGGAAGGACATAGCGGTCAGAGCTAGTTACTTCTTTGCAGACACTGTGATTGGAGAATCTCACTCACAGGACTATTTATTCTCTGTTTAAGGAGTTATCATCTTGATCAGATGGATTTTTATGTGTTCTAGCAATGTTTTTGGAAGCTGTGGATCTCTGGTATCTCCTCTTTGACAGAAGAAGCTATTTCCACCTCAGAGCTCTGCCTGTGGCAGTATACCACCACAGCAGAAGTTTTTGGTATTATATTCTTAAAATAGCAATTTAATAGATTTAAAGAAACAGCAGCTTTCACAGGAGTGCTGACTCTAGTAGGAATACTGCAACTTACAGCATACAAAGTTCCTAATTTATTTCAGCATTGCAGGTTACTGTTGTTGCAGTTATGTTTTTTTTGTTGGCTTTTTTTTTTCCCCAATATAAATTACTGGAGCCCTCATCTTTACTATCAGATTCATATTAACAATTCTTTTGACCCAGAAGGGAGAGCTGGACTAGATGATCTCCAGAGATCCCTTCTAACTCCTGCAATTGTTTGATTCTGTGAAATATCCCTCTCTCGAAAGACTGAAGTACAAACATTTGTGTAGAATGTTTTCTCAGACTTTCTGAATTTTGTTGTTGACAATATTGCAATACTTATGAATGCAGTTTCTGCTTCCCATTAAATTCAGACGTGCATATTAAATGTATAGGTGTATGCAAGTGTGGAAGTGGCAAAACTATGAAGGACTTGTGTGAGTATGGAAACGCACAGCTAGTCCTGATGTATCAGCAGTGCCAGGCCTGAAGTCAGCAATTTGAGGAGACAAAAGCACAGATCTGAGAGAAGAATTAGAATGGTCTTAGTGAATTGCATTAATAACCCAGATTTTGCCCTCATGTAATTTCCTGAGTAATTAATAGCTTTGGGGTAAAATGTACAAAGTACAGACAAATTTGCACAGCAAAAAATCAAGGAATAGTTTTCTGTTTGTAGCAAAATAATATTACTTTTTGACAAGCCAATTTCTGTGGCAGATTAGTCAGCACAAAATGTGTAGAGTAGTTTCATGTTCAGCCTTAGGAATTATTTTAAAAATTAATTCCGTTATGTTTCCTTCTGGGCTGGACTCTGGATCTGACTGATCTGAAGCAGTGCTCCAAAGGCTAAACTAATGGTGAGTAAAGGACCTGAGCAAGTGATTTGCATTAAGGTAGAGAAATCTGTGGTCTCTTTTCTGCATTACTGTTGCTTATCTGTTTTCTCAGAGGCCTTGTCTGAGAGCAGTGGTGCTTAGCAGGACATTCCAAGGCATCTCTGGGAACTTTATTCAAGCTCTTATACACTATATATAGAAAATACATATACAAGAGAGATATTTTTTTTTCAGTTCAGGGACAGAAATTTCTGACCTACCTCAGAACAGTAGTGGTCAAGACTTCATAACCTGCTCATAGATCAAAATAGTCCTCTGCATTCAGCAAAAAAGGCTACTTATTTGCTATGATATTCTCCACTGCATATATAGCTACCCTCTTTTTTAATTTTTTTTTTAATGTAGCTAATATCAACATAAACCATTCCTAAATTGCCTTTCCAGAGTTAACTTTTCCCATTGATAAGTGCCAGCTCATGAACAAATTATTGTCTCAAGACTGTTGCTCAGGCACCTTAGGTTTAGAATTTTACCAATCTGTTTTAACTCTTTAAAATCATTCCTAAGATTGATTTTTAGTCTCCTTTTTATGCTCTGTGGAAGTCAGCAACCTGCTGAGAGAACTGTTTCACTTTGGAATGACTTTCAAGATGGAAAAATCTGTCTGTTATTATTGATTACAGGGAGATCTAGGTGAGAATTAATTTAAAATGCAGATCTCTAGCCTAAACTGAAGTTATGTGACCTGAAGCCTTTCTCGTTAATTTAATGCTGATTATTAACCCTTAAAGTAACACTCACTTATAGCAGGACTTTTACACAATAATGTAGACAACTGTGCTCATACGTAGGCAGCCAGAGCAGTAGAATACTCAGAAAATCAATCTTTAGCTTTACATGAAAAATACCATATGTTGTATATAAAAAATAAACAAAAAAAAAAAAAAAACCTAACAAACTAACTTCTTTCCAGATAAATAGCTACTTATCATCATGGAAAAAAGCAGACTGTATTCTCATTTCCAGGGGATGAAATCTGGGTCTGCTGGGGTTTTTGCTTACATAGTGGTTTTTAAAAACACTTAGGAAACATTTGTTCTCATGACACAATCCCCATCATTAAAACAGCATGCGCATGGCTCAGTCTCAGAGTATGAAGCATGCGCAAATCACATCATCCTTTATGAGAGTGGCTAGGACAGTGGTTCCCACCTACAAGTTCATCTACTGCTGCTTGTCTTTCAGAATCCACCTATTGATATTAGCTGCTTTTCCTCTCTTTGGGACAGTGGTTTCACATTATTTGGCTTTCCCACAGGAAAACAGGATTTCTGATTTCCAATACACTTCCAGAAATCACAAGAAATAACACATCCCAAAAATACTGATAAAAATGCAGAGCATTTTTTTCTGATTGCTTTGGATGCATTGCCATTTCTTGTCTTGCATGCCATTGCATCCTCTCCCTTGTGATGGGATAAAAGTTTTCCTCAAACTTTTATCTTCAAAGTGGAGTCCTAGCATGAGAACTCCTTTATGCTAGGGTAAATACAGACCACTACAAAGGGAGAAAGATAGATGCATTGCAAACTATCTTCGCAGCTGAAGAACAATTCATCTCTCAGATTCTTGCTCTTGTTGAGCAAAGGGAATTATTTTGGAAAATCTGGGAGAAGAATTTGCTTTTGGGATATACAAGAGATGGCTGGCTTCTGCAGCAGATGTTCTACCCTTGCTAAGAATAAAGAGTGGGAACCACTGAACTAGAAATACTGATTCATAAACAGTCATGCATGGAAATAACGCAGTTACATCCCATCATGCAAGCCAGATACTCTCCTCTCTGTGTTTTGCCTAACATTGGAGTTTCATAATCAAATGGCACATGTATGAGAAGAAAAATAATGAATCAATACTAAAAATGAATAAAACACATCCCTACTCCATGTATTTACCCTTTTCACCTCACACAGAGTAATAATATTCAGTAATAATATTCAGGAAATCTTTCCATATTTTTGCAGTTTATCTAGTCACTATGCTAGCTAATCATTAGGTTAGGCTAGTCTCAAGTAACTGGAAGTAAAAGGAAGTCAGGCTTACTCCAGTATTTTACTACATTATCAGCTGTACTATCACTGTGCAGGTGAACTGGGCTTTGAGAAATCAAACATTCTGAATGAGATTTTCAGGAATATTCTCCTTTGCACTTTTCCCAATGGAAATTAGCATACAACTAATATGAAGACAGCAATGAGCCCTGCAGAAAATCTAGCCCTCAGTGAATACTTTCAACTGATCTCTATGAGTCCACGTTTTCCCAATATAAAACAAAGAACACTTTTCTGTTCCACAGTACTTACAAAATTTAGCCAATCAGCTTATCCTTCTAAGAAAATTAAATGATATTTGTTTCTATGGAGAATAACACACAAAAGTGATCAACTTCAAAATAACTGACCGTAACTTCTTAATAACTAATATTTTCTTTTAAAAAGCCACAGGGCACCTAGAATTCAAGGTCTAAATCTGCAAATTTCTGATTTGGGAGGGAAAAATATCCCATTTTAGCCACCACATTTCCTCATCCTTTGGTGGTCCTTACTGGTATTTAAGTGTAGATCTAATTTTAAACGCAAACTCACTTGCCATCCAAATTATCTGATGAGAAATATGACCATGAGTTCTTCCTTAGACTCATCTTTGACACTCTTCAGAAAGAGTCCCTGTTCACACTAACAGGCTTTTGCTCAGTCCCTTTACTCATTCCTCTCTAAAGTGATTAGAAATGGGCAAAAATAAGCAATATCACCCCAATCCATGGGGAGAACAATCCATTGCAAAAACAGGATGGATATTTTTTCACCAAAGAATGCAGCCAGAAATGTAAATAGAAATCACATGGATGTTGACCCACTCTTCACTTTGCAGTGAACATTTCTCCATGTATCAATCACTAGCAAAATCAGTGTTTCTCAAATATTTTGCATGGGCCAATTGTCCTATGAAAAATGGAGTGCTTCACTAGCAGCTCTCCAAAAGATGAAGGGCTTAAGCTAGGAAAGCTGAATTGTGTACTGATGTTTGTGAAATGAAGTAGAAATGAGAAGAACAAGATAAAGTTGAATGATGGGAAGATGTTCAGGATAAAATAAAATATTTAACAATATAGTCAAAATCTTAGTATTTCCAATGATGTGTCTTTCAGAATTTTGGATTGCTACTGATTATTTCTGTGTTTCATTGCAGGAAAATAAAGTTATTGCCCCAAGTCTTAAGTCAGAGTTCAGCAAGATGTTTAAACGTGTCACTAATTTCATTCAGATGATCAAAATCCTCCACTTCCCTGAATCAGAACCTGTAAATACACATGCAGGGATATTGATCTGCTGAACATAAATGCAAAGTAACTTGCATACATTTGTACTGACAACGTTGGGGCTGCACAAGAAATGATTTCCAGCTCTTACAGAATATTTTTCAGCCATAGACTTCTAGATGCTTAGCAGAGTAGGTTAGTATCATTTTCATTCTATGAAAACAGTGAAAAGCACTTGTTTCTAAGCAGATCATTGGCAGAGCTATGACTAGATCCCATGTTTTCAGAACAGCAGAACAATGAACTATCTGCAAAGTCATGCACATTTATTTTTATATTTAAGTAATGTTTCTTTCTTATTTCCCTTACTTTTCATGGTGGTTAGATGAACTACTGCTGTCAAAACAGAAATTGCAGGCAGAGAATGGCATGCAAGAAATATGGAGAGTAAGGCTCAATTGTTACTTGAATGTATATACCTAAGTTTTCTTGTGAGGCTCGATCCAAAGAATGACTCCCTACTAAACATGACATTACTGTAAAGTGAAGAAAAGTTATTAAGATGAGACGTTAATGATTACTCATGAAAAGCTCTATGAAAAAGAATGGGAATAGCCTTTCATTTGTATTTAATGAAATATGCAGTTCAGAGTGACTTTTTTCCCCTTCCTGTTTCGGGAAGTTGCATTCAGAAGAAATCCTGACAGTGAAATTTTCCAGCCTTGCTAGAAATGCTTTTATTTTCATTAAATTGTAACTACTAGCAATACTAAAATGTACCATATTATATTCTCTTATACTCACACAGTAGGAAGGACTAGTACAATGTTCTGCCACTTAAAGATCTCAAAACATATTTCCAAAGGCAGAGGGATATTATTTATCTTGGAGACATAAGGAAACTGGGATAAACAATTTTTTTTCAGTGATACGATAACTGGCCTAGCAATGAATGTGTTTTCCTGCTGTCTAGTTCTACAGTTGAGTAATGCTGTGTGCCAAAATTAAAAACCTGTCTAGGAGCAAAGCCCTAGGAGAAACTTCAAAATTCTTCACTAAAGTGCCTGTATACCCACGATTCAAAATTAACACACTGATCAAAATAAGTGCTAATAGCTATTAAAAACAGTGTGGAAAAATCAAGCCACCAATTACTTCCTGAAACACAAACATAAACACCAGTTTCAAAATAAACTATGTTCACTCTGCAAAAGCCCAACCCAATGGCTGGGACATGTAAAACACCCCAGTATTAGCTGAATGAGAGCATTCTAATAAATGAGGACATTAATGTCACTTTTTTCAGAAAGATGAAAATCCTTTGTAATACATACAAAAGTGCAAAGCATAGGGCGCTGCTAAAGCGCTAAAGAGTCTCTTCCCTTCTTTCCTGTAGTTCCCCTTTAGATACTGAAAAACTGCTATCAGGTCTCCTTGGAACTTTCTCTTCTCCATTCTGAACAGCCCCAGCTCTTTCAGGCAGTCCTTGTAGGAGAAGTGTTCCATCCCTTTCGTCATTTCTGTGGTCCTTCTCTAGATGTGCTCCAACAGGTCCATATCTTCCCTGTACTGAGCACTCCATGTCCTCATGTAGAGGAGCAAGATCACCTCACTCACTCTGTTAGCCACGTTCTTTTGATGCAGCCCAGGATATGGTTGGCTTTCTGAGCTGTGAGGGCACATGGCTGGCTCATGTCCAGCTTCCCATCCGTCCTCAGGTCCTTTTCAGTAGGTCTGGCAGCTTAAAGCATTGATTAAGGAAGAAACAGCTTATGGCATCTGCAGCATGTAGTCACCATGCTCCCCACCAGTAAGCAATGAAGAGCACAGTATCAGTTACTCTTGGTTTTGGGCATGTACAGAGCTTACAGGTAAAGTGCTATTCTTAACAGAGCAACATTGCAAACCTCTTCAGTACTTATAAGATCCAGCCCACTGCGTGGGTCAACATATTCGTCAGTGCCTCTCACATCTTTAGTTCTAGTTTAAAGTAAGCTTCAGTAAAGCCTTGGCGGTTGTCAAATTTTAATTAGCTTTCTACTACCACAAATCCTTCCCTGCAAACTTGCCTTGGCATTCAATTTCTGAAATGGACTCTTTGGTCATTGCCTTATCCTGTGTTTTTCCCAAATATTCTAAGAGCAAGGAGTTGCTCTTTTTTTGTTACTCTGCCATCTCCTGCTTGGAGAGAGGTTCTAGAAAGATCTGTCATAGAATTCAACTCTTTGGAGTTCCTAAAGAGCTTTCATGTTGCAGAAGAGAAACTGACATTTTCACACAGCTGGGCTTCATTTTTTAATTTTCAAAGAATCACCGAATCACAGGGGTTGGAAGGGACCTCAAGAGATTATCGAGTCCAACTCCTGCTAAAGAGGTACCCTACTATAGATCACAGAAATAAGTGTCCAAAAGGGTATTGAATATCTCCATAGGAGTACACTCTACAACCTCTCCGGGAAGCCTGCTGCAGTGCTCCATCACCCCTACTGTAAAATTCTTCCATGTGTTAGTACAGAACTTCCTAAGTTCAAGCTTTAGGCCATTATTCCTTTTCCTACTGCAACACACCATCAAGAAGAGCCTGGCTTCATCCATTTGCTTCCCCCTGAAGGGGAGATCAATTTATTCTAGTTGGTCTCACATAAGGAGACCAAGGATACCACGCGGCCTCATCAGCCTTCCTTTATGAAAGAGGAAGTGGGCATCCATGACAGCGTTCCAGTCATGTGAGCTGTCTTACCGTGTCTCTGTGATCATGATGAGATCATGACTCTGTGATTGCACACAGATCTCTAGTTCTTCCTGTTTATTTCCCATACTGTGCATTGGTATACAGGCACTTTAGGGAAGCAGAGAGTGCAGGTATCTCTAGAGAGATGCAGGAAGGTTTAAGTCACACTGTTGATAACGTTATCTACTTTGAAGAGTAATTACAAGATCACATTAGACAATTGAGAGGCATTTCTCCACAGTTTACTAAAAAGGCAGCATTACCAGGCCCCTCTCTGTCACAAGGAACTCCATGCTCTTCCCCCATGAAATGTAGTTTAAAGCTCTGCTAACCAATCCAGACAGATTGTTCCCCAGAACACTTTTGTCCCATTTTCTCAATTGCATTCTGCATGCTCTCTCAAAGGTCTGCCCAAGATCACAGCACCCAAAGCCTTGATCTTTGACACCATCTTGCCAGCCAGTAATTTACCCAATCTATTCTTGTCCTTATTTTATTAACTTTTTATGTTTTCTGACTATTCTGAGAAAGATTTGTATGAATTCTTCTTTCTCCATTATCAACCACAGTTCAGAAAGTGAACTTATTGCTACAGCTTGCCCATTAAGTACTCCACTATGCAAGACTTTGGAGACTGAGTGCACTGACGGGCTGTTCTCTCCACTAAGACAACATTTCCTTATTGCCCATTCAATTCAATATAGCCTTCAACACAAACTGCAGTACAACTAATGCACTAATATTTCCCATGCTAAATCAGCACAGGAAGATTCAATCTTTTTTTTTTTTTTTTTTTTAAATTTAAATTACATGGTCTATAAACAGGAGTTTTATGAGAAGTGGGACACGGAACTGTAAAAACAAGCAGATTAGAGCTCAGCCTCATATCTACTGAAGTCAGTGGATGCTTTCACAAGTACCATAATTTGTCTATTTACTTAGAGGAATTCCAATCTTTTTTTTTAATAATGCTTACTTCTTTAAACATATTGTTACTAAGGTTCCCATTCAGAATTAATGATGATTTTGCTGAAGGTTGTTTCTTACCTAACAACATAAAAGCAACACATAAACTTCTAGAACAAGGACCATGGGATTACGATTTTAAAGATTCTGTGCTGAGAGTCATAATTATCAGTTTTTAATCCAGTTCATCCATATTAAATGCCTTCTACTGGACTAAACGATAGAACAGCTCAGAAAATACTGCAGGAATTGTTCTGTCGCTGCAGGTACAGGAACTTCTCTTGGAAGCTGTAATTCCCTGTCAGTTTACAATTTTTCCTATAATTCTTGCTCATTTTCTCCATGTTTTAAATGAGAATGAAAATGGAGACAGCTTAATCATAGGTCTTTGTGGAACTATTTATCTTGCAATACCTATTGACTTTCATTGTGGATGATCCACTGATAGTAGTTTAGCATTTAAGTGCTTTATGTGTCTGACCTAAGAGATTGAATTCTTTTATGCGCTTTCAAATCTGTAATTTTGCTAAAGGGGTTATGAATAATTCATTTCCAAATATGTCTCAAACCTCGTATGTTCACTAATAGGGTCTGCTCTGCTGTAGTCTTCAATGACTAACCAGTATTAGGATCTCATTTTCTGCTTATAAAGCCCCAAAGTTACTGGGAACTTTCCCATCTACATCAGCAGAGGTAAGAACAAGCCCTTAACTCTAATGTAGCCTTTGTAGTAAAGTGAGAGAACTTGATTATCCTATTGATCCACCTTAGCCTTTCATCTTCATATTTATCATCAAGAAATCTGAGAATATGTTGAAATGACACAGACCTGATCCCTTCCATCCAAACATTGCTCTGTGCGGTGCAACAACATGAGACAGAACTTTAAATTCACTGCACAACAACTTGAATGCTTAACTTTGCCCCTATAGCATAGGTCAGGAGAAATTTCTATAGACTCTGATTAATCATAATGAACAATAAAGCTGCTTACAGACATTTAGCAAGCAACACTTTCCAGTTGTACAATTAGCATTTTAGCTATGTTGTTAAGTTGGGAAAAAAGCAAGCAATTAAGAAATGGACTGGTTAAACATTTTTAATGACTACCTATGGTGTTAGTAGCATGTTTTGGTTAACAGCTCACAAATCCACGAAGAACCATTTAATCCACATTCTCCAATAATGTATTAAAAGAAGACTTTAATAATGACAGAAGCATACCTGGCAGTACCATCCAATTGCTCTTTCCTTTTATAGAAGAGGAAGCATTGTAAGAAAGCATGGAAAGAAGAATTACACAATAAATCCAGCAAATTCTTTTAATGGAAATTGTTAATCTACTGTTAATTGTTTACATTTTTTTTGCTCTGTGATCAGATCATTACTGACAACAGAATTAAAAGCTTTGACATTATGTTTTTAGCTAGTCATAAAGTAAAGTAAATGAAACACTGAAACCAATCTGTGTTGCTAAGAATGGTAATCTAGGCTTTTATGTGAAGTTAATCCCTTGCCCTCTCTCCCAGGACCTTACTTGCAAAACACCTCTTAAATTTCAGGTTATGTTTAAATCACAGAAGAACCTAGTACAAAGGATAAGTTTGAAAACACATTAGTGAGTCTAGACTTCAGGTGAACATGAGAAGTGTTCTCTGAACAAAATGTGAGGTCAAGGAACCCTGTAGGAATCACAGTGTAATGGATAAGGTGGGAATAGATACAGAGTGAGAAGGGATACAAAAAAGAAATATACTGAGCCTTAATTAAACACTTGTGCTTTTTCTTAGAGATTTCCTTTGGGACTGATGGGAGATTAGTTCTAAAGAAATACACTGTGAATAAAACAAAGGAAGAGGTAATATTTGGTTATGATTTTCCCTTTGAGAAGGCAGAAAACTGAAAAGTTTCTTCAAGTCAGTTTTAAGAAACAACTGGCACTGCCATACTAGCAGAGTGAGTACAGCCCATCTATGCTGAGCAACAGGTTAAGAGCACTTGTTTTCAGAATGAAGCATAACAGCAAGCCCAGAATGAATGTTGAAATGATATAATATATCATAATATTATGATTTATGATAATATGTCATAATATTATGATATTATGATATATCATATAATTAATACTCATTATTACCAACTGATAATCTATAGCTAAAAGAATGGGCATTTAATGGGCATTTTTGTGTTAATACCTCAAGTTGAAACAAGAAAAGTTGAGTATCAAACACCCATTAACTTACAAGCACAAATTAATTATAAATGTTTTATGCATGAAATGCTTTCCACTGAACTCTGGAGTGGTGATCATAATTGGGATTAAAAAAATAATGACATCAACTCACCAACAAATTTTTCTTTTGAACCTTCAATGAACAGCATCAGGACAGCTTTAGACATTCCTTTACTGTCCTCCACTGAATTATACCCATCATCCTAGAAGATGTGAACAGTGCAGCTGCCTGTGACTCAGACTTTCTCAGGATCAAAATTGCAGAGGAAGAAACTGAGATTTCCAGATCAAAAAACTCCAAAGTCTTAAAAAAGGAAGCTGATTGCAAGGCAAACTTCTCCTTTGTTCAACCTCAACGTGAGAAACACGGAGGGAGTTGTCCATGTGCCCATGGAGCCAGAAGACAGAAGCATTTTTTTTTCACTCTCAACTAGGAAAATGGTAACTGGCAACTCTCTGCTACCTATGAAAACTTAATTATATACAAAACTCCATACTTCCTGTCCTGACTTAAACTTCACAGAAAATGGTGATGGAAAGATGTGAAATTCACTTACCTGAAAAATGGAAATGATACAATTGATTCGTAAAATCTCCAGGTAGCAACAAGATCAATTCTGTTGGGGTTAGTAGCATAGTATCTCCAGGCAGCCTGGAGATTTCAAGGATGAGACAATAATCAGCATAAGGCAAGGCTATTCCTCGGTCTGAAAACAGCCAGATTATTTCAAAGACTATAATGATTCACCTGAGTGATTATCTGGAAATGAATTACTAATGAGTCATACCAAATGAATGGCAATATATGGCAAAATTATTAACACTGACTTTTGATCTGGGGAGGTTATTAAAGGAGGAAGTACCACCAGTGCAAACAAGACATTACAGTTGACTAAACTGGTTTTATTCTCCTGTTGCACACTCCTGAAAGAGAACCAAGGACTGCTGAATGTGCAGTATTTCTAGAAGTGATTAGATTGGTTACTATCTAATGTACTATCAGAGGAAATTTTGCTGAGCTCAATTCAAAATTCTCAAAGCATACTGTTAAAAATATTATGACTAAATTTGCTGCCTCCTAAGTGGATATGCAGTAAATTTTAGCAGTAAATTCTATTCATTGCTCATTCCTGCAACTCCTTCTGTTTCTGAACAGCATTTGTAGTGAAAACCAACATTTCCATGTGATATCACAGAAAGCTTCTATGTCCCTCTGTGGAAATGCTATTATTTGCTTCACTGTACTCAAGATGCATTCCACAGCTACGCTGAGTAATTAGTCAGTCCCAAGACAGTAATGCTAAGCTTAGATTTCTGCACCCATAACAAAGGTCAGAATAAAAGACTGAATGAGACAAGATGATTCTTCTCATTGAGTCCACTGATCGTCCAGTAACGTAACAGAAGATCCAATGGCATGTTTCAGCCTTTACAAACCATACATACTACTTAGGCATTTTGACTAAGATGAACTAGGCACTGTCTCTTGTGTTACTGCTGTTGCTGTTTTCATGCTAATAACAACATGACTTTGTTTCCACATAAAATTCTTTCACAAAGGAACTAACAAAACCTGGATTTTGGAAAGAATATGTTCTCAACAGCATGTTTTCTGTGATTCTGTAAGGCTGACATAGAATTTTGTTGGTTTCCAGAGGCTAGAAGATGGGTCTTTCCTCTAATGACACCTTTCTTCTAAAATACATTATGGAAATTGAGAGATCCCTCAAGAACTGCAAGGACCATGGGATTATCTAGCTCAATGCGAAAAATTTTTCTTCTTTACAAATATGGCTTCTTACATCCTGCAATGACAAATGAGAACTGGGGATGAGGGAAGAGGAGGTCCTTGCTGCAACACGCAAAAATCTTCATAAATAACACTTTTTCAATGAGAGAAATGGCTGCAAACCTGAATGAGTTCGGCTGCTGGCTTTCTTCTTTTTTCAAAATGTTTCTGACGATGTTGCTCCTGGACTTTCAGTGCCAACCCTGAACCCAGAATGCCCTGAAAGCATAGAGTGATGCAAGATTTTATCATAAAATCAAGGAATTACTTGGGTAGGGAGGGACCTTAAGGATTATCTAGTTCCAACTCTCTGCTATAGATAGAAACACCTCCTACCAGACAAGGTTGCACACGGTCCCATTCAAGATGGCCTTACGACTTCTAGAGATGGGGTAAATTTAAGCATTTTTTTATTCAGGAAAAGTGGAGAAATTCTGATAGGAAATTGTTCTGCAGATGAGAATGAGGATGGCTACACAGAACCCTTCTGCAGTACATTATGCCTTTTCCACTGCTCCACTGAGGAGGTTGCTTTGCTCTTCCCATGTGATGAAAGCCACGCCAAATCATCTTTAGATTCTCAGCTTCTTGAATGCCTACCATCTTTCCAAGCTGGAATTGTTCAGGTAATGTATTTATTTTCAAGTTATAGAATGGCCAATGTTCTGAGATGATCACTACAGATCATCTGGCATTGCACATATTTAGAGCTCAGTAAAATGGTCGCAATCCTAGATCAATAGGCCCCAAATATTTTAAAAATATGTCTTGTGTGGCTATGTCAATACCAGTAAACTAATGCAGGCTAGAGTACAAGCTCAAGATCTGTCCTGTGATTGCCCAGATCATTCACCTGATGGATTTGTTCATTCTCAGACAATGTTCACACATGGTTCAGAAATTATGAGGGTGACATATTATATCCAGTAGTTTGCATGTAAATTTTGGAATAAAGGATTTTGATAGCAGCATCCTACTTGTCTTCAGGAAGCAGAGCATAGACCAAAGTTATTTACTAATACAGACCAGTTCAAGTGTCTGAATTACTTCTATTAATAAGTTTTGATTCCACTGGAAGTTTTGATCACTTTATCCTCTTTTTGCAAGCACACAGCTCTGGGATGTGGCTAAGGGAGGAGAAAGAAGTTACTTACTGCAGGAAGAGCAAAGAAAGACACTCCAATGAGTGAGAATGTAGCTGCAATCAGCCGTCCTTCCCACGTCTTGGGAGTCTTGTCACCATACCCAATCGTAGCAAGGGTGATCTGTAGGCAGAATGACCATAAATAAAACAAAACCAACAACCCTGTTTTAAATATCACTATCAAACCTGTGTCACTCAATTAGCTCTATGAATGCTCACACACAGCTTCTTAAAACAGAATCTTTATGATGGGCCAGTCAATCTTTTTAGAGGCGCTGCACCTGGAAGAATGGATTTAGTCTGATCAGCTGATTCTCTAGGATGCAGCTACTGAACAGATGTGGCACAAAGACCAAGTCTCATGCCTACTGTCAGTGCACAGTTAGGAATGCAACTTGCCAATTAAGTTTGCAGTGCTTTAACAATAAGTCAGGGCTACCTCTTCCTAAAGTAACAGTCACTAAGAAGCAAAGATAATTCTGTGAAAACTTATTCCATTCCTACACAACTGCTAAACCTTGTTTTTCAAATATGACACTTCAAATGAGACCCTACCTGAACTTCCTAGTAAAGAAGGATATGAAAATATTCAACAATTCTGTGTATCATTTTTTGGTTGGCAATGGAAAGGGTGAAGGAGAAATCATAGAATCACAGAATGAGTTGGGTTGGAAGGGACCTCAAAGATCATATAGTTCCAATTCCCATGCCACATATCTTGCCATTTACAAGAACTGCACTGAATAAAAAAATGTGCTGCTGAATTTTAGTCACAGATTTTGTACAATACAGTCAGTTCCCATAACTACTGTTAGTAAAGAAACATAAATTCTCTGTACAAGATAGCTAGGATTTTACATGATCAAATGAGCAGTGGTGCAAACCAATATAAGAACAGGCATATTAAACATCCCTCTTGATCAGTATCCTACCATCAATGGAATTTCTTGAGCGATTCCTGTCAAATCCATGTAAGACATAAGCAACATGTAGGCTTCTTTCCAGAGACATCTTTCTACCCTTCTATATAAGAATCCAGAGAGATTCTAGGGAGAATGGTCTCAGTGGCTCCTTACAGATCTAACTTCCATCAGCATCTACCTATGCTGCCCAGACCTATGCCACATGTTGCTAGGTCTACAAAACAGACTTTGTACCAGCTTTACTTTAGTCATTTGCTGAAGGATATAGCTCTCACTGGGTGGACACCACTGCTGTAAGAACTTGGCATTGGCTGCCCCAATGCATACCAGTGAAGTTACACTTAGAGACCCTCCTCCAAAACAGCCTTCCTAGAATTCAGGAGCACAGACTGATATCTCTATAGGCTTTAAGTACCAAAGAGCCTCTGCCTGACTAGATATCCACAGAGAGATAAATTCTGATAATTGATTTTAGTGGAGTTCTTACTACTGGTGATGTTATACCAATAGTATTCCACTCACTCAAATTTAGGAGCACTTATATTTAGACCCTAACACCAATACTTATTGATACAACGTTTTTAAAAAGATCATAAAGAATTTTTGGATTCACTTACCAGCCCCCACCACAATGCATCTGCATAGGTCTCAAACTCTTCCTTCATCTCCACCCCATTAGCATCCTTTTCCGGCACATCTTTTTCAACCAGATAAACAAGAAACGAGGATAGTATGAGTGTCAGGAACCCAATGTACCAAGCAGTGATGAGTTCCTGCAAAAGAAACAAATGGACAATGAAGAGGCTGAAAACAGACTCAAAATCCACAGTGGCAGTATAATTGTCAGGAGAGAAGCACTGACAATAGCAGAGCTGTCACTGGAAGCTTGGTCACAATTCCATGATGAGCCTAGCTCAGTGCTTACTGGCAAAGTTGCTGCAAAGTTGAAGTAAAGCTGAGCTAAGAGCTTAGCTGCACCATGATGAGACTGTATCCCTGACCTTGAGTCTTACGTCATTTTCGGTCCTTTTGCACCAGGGCTGCAGTGGTTTTATCAGGCAAATCAATGGCTCTGCTCTCTTCAACTTGAGAGAGTCAAGGCTGCAGAATACAGTTTCTTATCTTTAGGCATATCAAAGCAGTTTTCAAGGTTTCCTCTCTTTTAGTTTATGTCTGATTTCAAACACAGATGGCAATTTGTTGGTGAATCTTGCTAATAAAATTGTTTCTTTACTGTCTTTCGGTAAAGCAAATTTCTCATAACCTCTTTTTGTCTTCGTCATTCAGCTGAGATCCAAAAGGTGGTGATGGGAACTCAGTGTGGAATGATGGAGAAGAAATCCACACTACCAAGACTTAAACAATTTCTAAACAATGTCCTTAGCACATACACTTCTTTCATGATCTCAGTTTCCTGGGAAACATTTTAGACATAAGTGTTTATATGCTCCCTGCCTTGCAGCAAGCTTTATGGGGAGGAAACAGAAGTTGGTATGAAATGAAGGAGGGTATCCCTATCAGCCACAACAAAGAAGTAAAATCTAATTATGCTGTGCCAGCTGGCATTCTAATTTTCAAAAAACCTAAAATGTCAGGAATGTCATTCGGGGATTCAAAAAAAACCGCAGTATGTAGTACAGTTTTTCTACACCCAGCGCATATGAGAAATCTAATCTAAAAGCTTTTAGTTTAGAGAGTTTTTAACTTGTAATAATATTTGTTGAAAATGAAAAATCACAATGTATCTTTCTGGTGTGAGACAGAATGTCTGACTACAGCACTCAGACTGAGAAAAGATGATTTCAGAAATTCTGTCCATCTGGATTCACACTGTGTGCATCACTGAATTGTCTGACCCACACTTCCAAAGAGGAGTTCTACTAGCAGCTCCCTCTGAAATGACATTTCTGTCAGCCAGTCTTTTGCCATCCTTCTGGAGTTCTGCTCCATCTGGTGATCAAGCAACCTGAGAAGCCATTAAAGATAGATAGCAACTACACAGGCATTTCAGTCAAAGATTTCAGCATACTTTACTATAAAAAGGATGCCCCTGCTCTCATTCTGTGTAATGACAAAATTCCTGTTGCAATGTCTGTGAGAATAGATGCTCACTCTTGCCACTTCCAAATATCAATATTGAGTAGGGGAGAGTAAAACAAATGGTATAAATGGTTCATAGTGTGAAGAAGGAAATGAAGCTGAAAAGAGGAAACCCGGGAAGTTGGTGGAGTCCACTATCTCTGGAAGTGATCAAGAGTCATGTAGATGTGGCACTGAGAAACATGGTTTGGTAGGCACAGTGGGGATGGGTTGATGGTTAAACTAGATGGTCTTAGTGGATTTTCCATCTTTAATGATTCTATCATTCTATGATTACTGTTGCTAGAAATAATCCTAAGGCACTCCTGCACTTATGTGTCCCCTCTCTTCCACTTCAGCATCTCTCCCCCAGGCCTCAGCCCCAAGCTGAGTCTTGCAAGTTCCTCACTTACCTTGCTATGTGCACAAATAGCTGATCCCAAAAGTTTCCACGTGCCGCCTCGTCTGTCCATTCGGAGCATCCTCAGGATCTGAAGGAAGCGAAGGCTTCTGAGTGATGTGGCCAGAACATTGCCCTGGTTCCCAACAGCAACCACTGGCACTGAAGCAATCAGCACAAAGATATCTGCAAGGTGAAAAGAACAAAGCCTGCCAACAAAAGTGGCTCCTTCACTCAGTTCTTAATCCCATATGGCCGTGCTGCAAATTTCCCTAGGCAAGTTTTAAAGCTGCCTGAAAATGCCTCTTCATGCCAATTAATCAGGTACCTGCACCTGGAGCACAGAGTCATGCACGGAACTCAACAGAGAGCCCTGTAATCTATTTACAGATCAATACACTATATTTGAGACACTGGCTGAACTAGCATAGAGATGCACAGAAACAGTGTCTTAATGCTGACAGAAAAAAAAACAAACACAACTACAAAAATCTGAATTCTTATGTCCCTCAAGAAGGCTACAGAGAACCAGGATTATAGATCATCACACACACACATATATATGTATATATATAGTACATGTAGTTTTTTGATCTTTTGGCTGAATTTTCCTATTAAAATCACTGGCACAATCAGCACATGCTGCCAATTCACTGATTAACCTAGGAAATCCAAAATGCAAATGACACTGCATCTTCTTGTTGGTTGCTCTGGTTTGTCTGTTGTTTTTTTTTTCTGTTTCTCCCCCCCAACCCACTTGATTCACCTCACTTGTCAATTCATACAAGTGGTACCAAAGGAGTTAAAAATAATTATCTGCGCTCTCATTTTTAAAATTGTCTTCATATTTTATTTCCAGCCAAAAATAGTGTTTCCAGATGAGTTTCAGAGTTACTCAATTTCAATCATTCTCAAAACAAACTAGTGTCAATAATGAACCAAAAAATGAATGAATGTGAACATGAATGACCAGTGCTCCTGCATGTTGGCAAGTTGGTTTTGTGGATAAAGGAGTTCTTGGAGGGGATTCAAAGGTGGATAATGAGTAGCTTCAAGGCTAGTTGTAAGTAATGCCTACCAAACTTGAAGGATAAAATGGGAGAAATCACAAAGATACCTGTTTGTAAATACAGACCAAGATTATAAAGGTAAAATATAGCACGTGAATATGAAAAAGGATTGGGAAAGTTAGCATTAGGATCTGAAAGGCTTTGAAACTGAAGACAGTGTACATTTTGTGGTGAACTTGAGAAAAACAGTTGGGCTCAGGACAAGAAAAATGTATTCAAACCATACAAGGATCAATTTTTTCTCACTGGCCAACCACCCAAGCACATCTTAAATGAATTCTTATTGCCAGGTATTACAAATAACCACTCCCAGCATGACACAGTTCCTAGCACAAGAGGCTGGGCTGACTTTGGTGCTCTTTGTACTGCCTTTCACTGGTTTTTGCATATCCTCCCAATGTGGCTCAGAAGGAAAAGGACCTAACAAGGAAAACACAAGTACAACATATGTGCCTACCCAGCATGCACAGAGGCTTTCGGGCAAACTTCAGTCTTCCTCTCCATCCTTTGTAGCGGCAGCAACATCCTGCAGCCCAGATTCTTAAGGCAAACTCTGCTCCAAAGATGAAAATGGCAAAGGTTTCCTGCATTAAAGACACAAATGAGACTGTTAGACTTAAATTTTGCAGTAAGTCTGGATGCACAGCAATAGATGAAGCAAACAGAGTTGCAAACTGAGGAGCAGATGTTGGGGACAGGGATGAGAAAGAGATAGGGGAAGAAAGCAGGGAAGAGAACACAGGTTCATGAGAGTCGAGGAAAAGTGGGACATCATAGTTTTACAGATTGCTAAGTTATCTGTGTATAGGATGTGTTCTTCCTACTGGGTATATAAGAAGTGCTTACCTTGCCTTGATGGAAATGCAATTATTTCAATAAAACAAAACCACTGCTGTTTTTTATTATGAAATAAAAACACATGTGGTGACTGCAAAGTGCCCAGTGCACAGTACAATGGGGTTATGTACCAGTTGTTCCTTCATGGAACCATGTCTGAAGAGACAAGGACAGGAGCAAGTGTATTCATATGGTAATGTTTAAGGCATATGTATAAAGGCATATATACAACAAATGTAAAACATATATTATTACTCTCAGTTTCTCTGCTAAGAAAAATAGGATATTCTATTGTGATTAAGGACTGGGGAATTTTTTAGCTCTTCTAGGCACGAGAAGGAAATGAGGAGGAGAGAAATTCTCCAAAGTGACAGAAGGAGATGGGACAAGAGCATCATGGGCCTCTGGAAATGTGAGATAAAGAGGAAAGGAGGATTTTTCCTAATACTCATACCTCCAGCTGCTGCCCATTTCTGAAAACTGCTGAGAGCCATGTGAAAGCAGACACAGGAGAAATTACCTCAGGCTTTCTCAAATGTGAATAGATGGCTCAGAGTAGAGTAACAGGGACAAAAGCGAGATTCAAATTCCCTAGCAGATGAAGGTGTTTTCTTACAGTTGCTTTTTAAGAAGAAACTTGCAAGGAGAAATCCCCTCCTAAGCCCCTTGACATTTAATTCTTGTCCACTTCTACTTGCCTCTAGTGTATAAAGGGAAATGGAAATTGAGATCCTGGAAGTACTATGTGGTTCTCCTAGAATTGCTATTCCACAAGACTAGGATTAGTGAGACAGACCACTTTCTATTTCATGACAGTTATGGAAAAAGAGGAAGTTGGGATCATTTTCATAAACTGATTAATATGTCACATTTGTACTTAGTGAGCTTTTTCAATTTTTTTCTCTTTCTGTCAAGTAGGAGTCCTGCACAAATAGTCTTGAGTATGAATCCACCATTGATAAAATAAACATCCTGGAAACTCAGAGATAGGAATATATTTTATATATATATATATATATATATATATAATATATTTATAATATATATAATTATATTATATATTTATAATATATAATATAATTATATTATATATTATATATTATATATTATATATTATATATTATATATATTATAATTATATATATTATAATAAATATATAATATATTAATATATAATATATTATAATAATATTATATATTATATATATTATATATATATATATATATAATTTTCTCCAAGTACATTTCCCTCCTTCGTGGAGACATTGCTTTGAACAGTTTCATGTATGCTACTATCAGACAAAGTTTGAGTCCAATTCTAAGGACCTTCCTTAAAAAATAATAAAAATGCTGGGAATTGAAAAATATTATGGAATAAATCAATATTATTGAGAGATCCTCAAAAAACTGAGTTTTCAAAAGTTCTAGTCTGACCAATAGGTGATTTATTGGCACTTTAGAAGGAGAACTGCTGGGAAATACTGAAAACTTGCTATTTAAAAATCTCAGGCCAGTAGTCTTTCTTTCTTCCTTTATACTTAGTTGATGTTGACAATGGACTGGGAACTCTCCAGTACGTAAAAGCTCAGTCACTGTCCCAGTACCCACAGAAGAAATCGTACTACATGCAGAGCAAGTTTCCATCACTGCTGATGGAGCTGATTTCTGTTCAGGGAGATCAGCAGGGTGACACGCTGGCCACAGACTACTTACCAGCAAAAGAAGCCAGTCACCTGAAACAGTTTCATACTCCTTGAAAGTTGTCAGGACAGCTAAGATCAAACACCCCAAAACAATCAGAAACCTGGAGTGAAACAAAAAAGGAGAAGCCAAGAGAATATTACTGCTCTGTATTTGTGTGGGAGATGCTGCTTATTTACATATAGGAGGTAGGTACTTCTGATGGATAAGCAGTGGATTGGACTCTCAGGAAGACCAAGGGAGACTTGGAAGTTAACAAATCATGGCAATAACCTATGTCAAAATGACTCCAACACAAACATATGATAATTAACTCTGTTGCATTCTTCAGGAAGAAAATAGAATTGCATGTCAGGAAGGGATTTATAAGATATGTAATGCTCAGGAGGTCTATTTCAAGCTGATGTTCTGTGTGCTTCACAAAAAGGCACTGTGGTTGCAGTGAAATTAATCTACTTGGCACATACTGAGACTAGACAAACAGTAAATGCTTCAATACAACACAGCACTGGGACAATCTCTCCATTGAAAACCACACTACTTTCCTTTTTTTTTTTTTTCACTTCTCTTTTTGCATTCATTTCTATGCAGATGAAAAGATGACAAAGCTTGAAAGAGAGACAATAGAGAGGGTAAAGTTCTGCTCTCCTCGGTATGTGATAATAATAAACTCAGTATGTGATAAATCACTGACTCTGTGCTATTGTCTGTGAAGACCCAGAATTCAGAGATTTGACAGAAAATTTAACTCCCACAGCTGGTAAATCCAATTCAGTCCAATCTGAAGTCAAGTTGATCTGCTTTATAAAACTATTCCCAGGCTCAAGCTATTAAAAATCTACAGATAAATAGGTAGGAAAAAATCAAGGGAGTCTTGTAAGTGATTGCTGTGAAGCAGTGAGGTAAACTAATATTCTAGTACTTAACGTACCCAGTTCACGGGCATTTTGAATGTGCTCCCAAACAGGAACAAAGGGCCAGTGGGCACGGAAATACTTCATAGCTTAGTGAATAAATGGGAAGGACGTCTCCATAAAAGCTCTGGATCTTTTGCTAGAATGCATCAAAGAAATGATAGGCATTAGGCACTGAATCCAGGGGAAAAAAAGAGTCTTGTTAAGACTTGCACTGTGTAATTCCTATTCTGAACTTCAATCTGATACCTAAAGTGCTATCTCATGTCTTGCTACACTTTGTTTCACTGGGTGAAATTGACAGAGTCCAGTCTACATGTGCAGGCAGGGAGAATGATGACCACGGAGGCTCAGCTTGGATATGTTTCCTCTAACCTGCCCTGGTCACTTGTTTCATTTGTATATGGGGAAACATGGGGCTAAGAGGGCATACCCTGACAATACTTCCATGCAAGGAATGGACAACATTGAAAAAGCTCCCAGCAAACCTTGAAGGGTTATGGTGCTGTAGTTTTCCAGGCCCTGAGGGTTGTTGTTCAGATTGAAGTTTCTATGCCAGTATAATCACTTGGAAAATTTCAGATCAGCCCTTTTGAGAAAGGTTAGAACAGATATACATGGGTTTGCTCATGCTGACTCATTCTGGATTTCATCGACAAGTTTCTCCTTCTCCCACTCACCAGACATGCTCTGGGGAAGGGTTAAGTGGCTGACAAGAAACAACCTTTGGGTCCAGCACGTCTGTTGCCATCAACCTGTAACCATGCGCATGCCAAGTCAAGACAGTAAGCAGTTAACTTAGTACCTTTGTGAAGCTCTTGCCATGCCCTGAAGCTGGTTTTGTCACACCTTAACATGCTGTCCCCATCTTGCAGTCATAAAGCCAGTAGCCCGCTAGCTGACTTACAGTTCTTGCACCTCCACAACTAAAATGATGCCAACTCAACCAAGAAAATGTGATTCCTTCAACCAGCTATAAATTAACTATGATTTACCAAATTACAGCCACTATAGTGGCACCATCACTAATTCTTCAGTTAAAAGCTTGAGCTTTAGCTACCTAATGATTTCCATTGCAGTTGTTTCTTTACACTGTGTGATCCAGTAGCACACAGGTACCATTTAAATGATTTAATGAAAGGTGAATCACACTGAAGACAGTCCAAGGAAATTACATTATCGGCTGCTTAAACTTAAGGTATAAATTCACATTACAGTGTGCACAGTCATATAAAGATAATGTGCAGATTTTGGTTCAAAAAGACAGAAGCTCGGAAGCCTAAAAATGCTTGCAGCTTTACCACTAGAGGGTATCAGCACTCCACAGACCAGAAGAATCCTGCTCAATCCTATTTTCCCTCCACGTGAAAAAAACAAATTGCAGGTGGTGTTCAGGTGATCATATTCCTGTATTTGATATGCAAGAAAATGAGTCTTACTGCATTGGAAAATCTTTTCCTTGTTCACTAACAACCAAATAAATATTGGCACGAATGGGCAAGGGGTGCTTCTTGCTCAATTGCTCTGCAGCACAGCCCACGCTCCTCCAAGCAGGAGCCCACCTGCAAAAATAACAGATTGTGGAAGACAGAAAAGGAAAAAGAGGGTGGGAGGGTGAGACTGGAGATCATAAGTTACCAAGAATGATTTCAGTCCCAGCAGGGAACATGATCTGATAGCCTTAAGAATTATGTGAATGCAATCCAGAAAATTGACTTTTGAGGTTTGACTGCTGAGCAGAAACCACAATTTCCCCCAAAACCCACATTCCACAGAGCCCGGCTGCTCCTTCTACAGTAATCTGGGTGAAAAGCCTGTGCTGTGACAAGTAAATGCAATCCATCTTGGAAGCATCAGATTTCCTTCTAACACCCTGTTTCCAAAGGATAAACACCTGCTGCAAGTTAATCAAATCACATCTCAGCAATCCTCATTTAGTATCTGAAATGATGACTGTGTTCAGAGCACTCTGTGAATTTTAATCTCTGTTCATGCTATGCAGCCCACCAGTTTCCTTGCAGCCTATTTTGTTTCTTTTAGATCTGGGTGTTTACAAAACCCAGAAGTCTTCTTAAGTTCTCTTTCTATAGCAGCTGCTACAAAGGTAGCATATTCTTTCATTAGTCCCCTTTGCTTAGCAAAGACAACAATTATATTTTCATCAGGAGTGTCACCTATACCCATTTTCTTGCCCATATGGTGACTAAGCAATCAGAAAGACTTGAACTTATTTGACTGTTGCTCTGTACTGTTCCATGGCAATATGACAGAACCTGAGCCTGTGTTCTCTAATCTCATCTTTTAAAGGCAGAAATGTAGGTCTAGTGGTTGAATCTGGCTGTAAAATCGCAACAGGTGACTCAGAGTGCTGAAACCACAGGGGATGATGAGAGGAGAAGCAAACAGTGACCTGGGGAATCAGCGGAGGGAGCATCTGAAATTTACACAAAGTTACAGTGATGCTATCAAGAGACACATAGCATTAAAGGTTAGAAGAAAGAAACAGCAGAAAAATTAAGGTTTAATTATAACAAATGAGTCCTCTGAAGCCCAGACTTTTTGACAACAGTGTCTCAGCAGGTGGCAGTCTGTACCTCTGGACTAATTCAGATATGACAAATAAGGATTTGAATTCACCTCCTAGGTTTTTAAAAATTAACCTTGCTATCATTTCGTGTAATGTTTTGTGGCCCAGTAAGTTGTACTATTTATTTTATTCCTAAAAGCTTGGTTATTTTGATGGATGTGTAATTTACAGACCATCAAATGGCAGTGTTCTTTTGTCACTGTCACAACTAATATGGTATTCAAAGTAATAAATGTTCTTGCCATTGAGAATGACATTTAACAGTCAGATTTTCAAATCACACTATTTTGGAGTATTAAAAATAATCTTCCAAAAAGAATACATACTTCTTACAGGAAAGAAAAAATAATTTATTATCATGCTAGATTATGAAATGGATTCTTCCTGGATGAACATCACAGATTGTTTTCCTGATTTGTTTTAATGTTTCAGATTCTTTAAATGTTTCTTCTGTATCTGCTTTCATATGAACCACATGATGCTGATACAGCTGAGATCTTTTACATTTTTTCTATACATATGTGCTTGTCATGTATTCCATTCAGCACCTCTTCCATAGAATTTTAGGAGCAGATCACATAGTGATTTGCCTATAACTTATTCCAAAACATAGCAGTTCTTCTAAAGCTGTCATGAGGATCAGAAACATCATAGGCAGGTCAAACAATGTTTGCATCCGCTATCATTTTGGCAGTTTTTTTGTCCTGTGTGAAGAACTTTGCCTTTACAGCACAATCTGTCTGCAAAACTTTTCTTGAGCATACATTTAGATGCAGTATGTTTGATTTTTGTATAGCTCTTTTCTACCACACAACTTAATTAAGCTAGCAGTTACATGGATGGAGTCTTGATCTTCTATTGTATTGTCTCCTATAGTGAGATGTGTTTTAGGACTCACTATGGACATCTGCTATCACATACCTCAAGTGGACTTGGAAGTTAACAGAGAGGAACATACACTCCTAGTGTACAACTCATGTTATCTTGAAATAGACAGCTCATGGTGTTAAGAAGCACCTAAACAGACAATGTGTTCTCTGTATCTGAAAGAAAATCTGGCAATGACTAGCTCCTATATAAAGGTGGCGGTCAAACAGTGGAAAAAGCTTCCTAGAGTGATGGTTGATGCCCCATACCTATTACTTTAACTGTTAGTCAGCCCTGAAACAGTCAGGCAGTTGGACTTAATGAATTCTGAAAGTCCCCTCCATATCCTCTCCTCTCCTCTCCTCTCCTCTCCTCTCCTCTCCTCTCCTCTCCTCTCCTCTCCTCTCCTCTCCTCTCCTCTCCTCTCCTCTCCTCTCCTCTCCTCTCCTCTCCTTACTTTTATTCAATTCTATTTCTATTCTATTCTATGAAATTGTTTAATGTATAAGTCAGCTGAATTTCATCCTTTATGTTCAGCCTGATTTTGGATTTAATTACAAATATTTATATGATTTTACTACTGAAAGAATTAGCCTACCAGCTTTACCAACCCACTTCGTACATGACCAAGTTTCTTTGAAATCCTTTGTTGGAACTTTGGCATCACATCTACATTTGGTCCAGATCATAATCCAAGATGTGGTCAGGACAGATTCATACACACACTATTAAGGT